TAATCATAAAGTGAATCTTAATGAATAATGTTAAAGATATTAAACAAAATAATAAATAAACATCTCTCAACTTACCGCAGAAAATGCATGAAACTTGAAACGAGATATTCCATGAATTTTGTCGTGCATGTTTTCAATGATATATTTTAAGAAAGGACCTTTAAATAACAAAATTTCAAATTTATTCTATGAAACTATTTTAGTCTTCCTCAACTATTGTATATATATATATATATATATATATATATTAGCCCCAGATCAACCCCAGTCATGAACCAACAATAGAACTTGTCATCGTGTCATACACTGATCAACTTTTAGCTTCTTCTACATTTTGAACTTTTATCTACATGTGATTTTAGACTTCACATCGACTTTTATGCAAACTTTTACTTTATATATATATATATAGTCGGACCTCTATTTAAAGAAGTCGCTAAATCCCGATAATAAGTTAGTTATATGGAAAACTAGTTAAATAGAAAAATCACTTTTTTAAATACTTGAAAAACGCAAAATAGGTTTTAAATTCATAAACATTAGGCATAATTAAAGTAGAAATTGATGCACCTTTATATTGTAAAGTAGTATCTACTATTTATTTTATAAATCTTAACGGTAAAAGAAATTTGAATGGAAAGGAAGAATGGAGCAAAACATTATCCAGTGTTACACTATTACGCTACATACATTTTCAACTAAAAAAAAGAGCAAACTTTATGCGTAAAATTATAGCTGCATTTCTTACAAAAGTAATTTTGAACATTACCACATGCGTTCTTACGTTTAATTGCTACTGATAAAATCTGTTAATTTTGACTGAGTTTTTCGTTTGAAATGCAAACAAAAAGGGAAAGGGATTTTACTACTTTCTCTAAAATAACTTTTAGAGAAAGCAGTAAATTATTACATAAGGCAGTGGCTTCGAAAATTAATTCATGGTCACTTCCCCATAAAAGGCCGTAACAAGTTTGAAACGTCCTGCAATATTTTAAAAATCAGGAAAAGTGGATCTCAATGAAAAGTTCGTTAAATAGAAAATTCACTTCGCTAATTGGAAGTTATTTTACGAAGAAATTTCAAAAACGTTCTTGGTTCCTCGAAGAAACTCGCAAAGTGGAAGTTCGTTAAAAAGATCTCCGACTGTATATACATAACGGAAAATTATAAAATTAAATAAAAACGAAATTTTTTTTATTAGGAAAACGTGAAGGTTTTTTTCCAGACGCATTCCTTTGCAATGGGGAATGTGATATTTCCAAATAAGGAATAATGATCCTAATATAAAAATTACTCTTTATAATGCATCTATCGCTAAAAATAAAAAATAAAATTGCAAATGAAAATGAGTTTGAGATAAAAGAAAGCAGAAAACAAGCTTACCAACGTAGAGTAAAAATAAAAATGTCTTACAATATAGATATACTAATCTAACAGCTAACAATATTCGTTAAGAAGAGAACAATTAAAAAAAAAAAAACAGCGCTAATATCTTAAATCGCACAAAATAATTTTAAAAATATATTTGGTAGGAAAAACCTGAAGCAAATTGTATTTCAGTGTTGCCATCTATAAAAAAACACTTCAATAAATAATTATTTGGAAAATTTAAGTAATAAAACCTTTAATAAGAAAAAAAATTAATGAATAAACAAAACTAAAAAATTTAAATTTAACTAAAAAAAATCAAAATTGAATCACAACAACTTTCAAATAGGTAGTTCTATTATTACTTATTCATGCTACTTAAACTATGTTATCAACATTAACAATAGAATGTTTTATTATATATTAGCAATTCTGAGCCGAATCACAGCAAATTTGGTGTAATTGACTAAAAGGGTAAAAGAAAAATGGACCACCCTGAATAACTTTTTATATAGCGATCGGATCTTCACGTTTTAGGACTCAATCCGGTTAGTTTGAGAAAATGACTTCTAATATAATAATTAATTAGCGCAGACGATATTTTAAGTTACGAAATCAGGCTCCGAAGCGTACTTTCTCTGAGTAAACATACCCTTTTTTCAACGGATTCGCAATTCTGGAAATATGGTCCCAAAGTTTGGTAAGGAGAGTGATCCAGAGTTTGGACCACTTTATGTTAACAAATATTAATTTTACTTTCTGTGTGTTTCGCCAAATCTCAAGATTTTTTATGCGAATGCGTCTGATTTCGTAACTTTAAATATCGTCTGCACTAATTAATTAGCATATTTGAAGTCGTCCTCTCAAACCATTAAGATTAAGTCCTAAAACGTGAAGATCCGATCATTATATAAAAAGTTATTCATTCTGGTCTTTTTTTTTTGGCGCACTGTACATATATTTGGATAAACTTCGGTCAACAATGTTAACTTTAAAATCTTCTTGACTTTAAGCTTGTATGCAACGGTCCAAAGAAGGAATTCTTCATGGAATTAACATTACGCTTTGTTGCACTTTAAGCTATAGAAGATTTTCTTCTTTTCCGATTATTTATAAGTTACTTTTCAGAACTAACGTGGAGATCGATTTAATAAGAAATTAGTTCAATTCGAACTTTAGAGCAAGTATTTATTAAATATTTATCTTTGGTCTCTTATGTTAAGTTCGCACAAATAAAGCCAACACGGACTGTGCCGTTTGAGTCTGTCGTTATCAACTACGCATTTGAAAGGTTTATGAAAACATGAGTTTCTTTTATTGATGGTTGAGTTCTTCTAAAACGTGTTTCTATAAACTGAAATTATCACTTATTAAAATATTATTTAGTCAATGTAAATTGAAAACATAAAATTGAAGTTATGCAATCAATGCCAGTGCAAAATTTATCAAGAAAATTATGTACTTCACTAATTGAATAAACGATATTGATTTACTTAATTGAATGATATTTGTGAATGATATTTTTGAAACAAAAATTGTGGATTGAAAAAAAAATAAAGGAAGAAAAAAACGGATTTTCCTTATAACTTTAGAACGGAAAATTTTAATTCGGGAATGTTCCAAGGTAATGTTTCAAAGAATTGTCCTAAAATTGTCTATAACAGTTAATTGCTTATCACTGACTTTGGAAATCCCTATTTTGACACTGAAAAGCATTTTTTCTAAGGAAATACATTTTCTTAAAATAAAACAATGTACGGTAACCGTAACGGAATAAACTAGACAAAGCTCTGAAAAGTAGACTTCTATAATTTAATCATTTTAATGGTTGTGGCGAAATTTAATGATATCTTCAGCAAAGAAATCTTAAATTAAAGCAGCTCATTGGCAGCGTTTTCTTTATTGGATGGTATACTATCATGTACATGTATTACAACTATTAATGTTATTTTAATTTTTGTGCCGTTCATATACTTGACTATATGATAGCCATGTTATTATTTTATCTCTTTGAGTCATGTCAGGTCCGATTAATCAGTGAAAGTAAACCGGTTCTGAGTAACCAGAATAGTCAAAGTTGAGCCTGTCCACTACTTATCTTTAAAAAGATGCAATACATATTATTTCCAGTATTATATCTTCACTCATGACGAGCAGGAGCACAAATATCCTGTCGCAGTGTCAAAAATAAATAAGTGGTAGCTATGATTTTTCAAGATTGCTGAAAAATTCTTGAATTCAACTTTCATTTGTGATATACGAAATTATTACCGAGTTAAATTTTGCACCCCTATATTTTCTTCAAATTAACTATTTATTGATAGCTTAAAACATCTAGATATATCTCACTTTTGCTACCACTTTAAAATTTTTTCCAGATCTTGGGAAACTTGTGTGAAACTCTTTTCAACTACAAAAACTCTGATGATCACATTAACAACAAAGACTCTCAACTCCCAGTTCTAGTTGCCTACTTCAAATATCAACAAAAATATCCAACCCCACTCTTCCCTTATTGACTATTATCTTCGATGGAGAAGTAGATAGCCCTTTGGGCTAGGAACTTCGTAAAATTAGATTATATCAGTATTTTCAACTACAAAAATGACTTTCTATTAGACCGTATTGCTAAACTCAATAGCAAATGAACGGATGGAAGAGTGAGAAGTCAGCTCTTGTTACTTCGTATAACTACATATCTGACAAAGAAGTAGGCGTTACTTTTTATACCGAATCTGATTAGAGACAATAAAAGAAACGCCCACTTTTAAATTTAAAATCGTTATCGACCAGCGGATGAAGGAGAAAAAAATTATCATTCTCCTGATATTTCAAAAATGTAAACCTTATTAATCGTAAGATCAGGGGCGGATCCAGAAATTTTTCCGGGGGGGGGGGGTTCGTNGGGGGGGGGGGTCATAGACTCAAATTCCCCCTTATGCCCAGTTAAATATTTTTTTAAATATTTTATTTTTTTTGTAAACTATTAAAAAATTAATATTTTAAGTTTATTTTATCAATTTTTTTTTGGGGGGGGGGGGCGGATANGGGGGGGGGGGCGGTGGTCATGACCCCTATGACCCCCCACTGGATCTGCCACTGCGTAAGGTGACAGTATAAGGCGTAAAATGTGGATGGTATAAAAGGGTCAGCGTCAGAAGAGCTCTAAATTATTTGTGGCTTTCGTCAAGAATTTTGATAAGCAAGATTGTAATTTTAATGAATTTCGGAGAAATAGCAATAATGTGAAACTGTGGGAGTGCTAGTAATCTTTTTGTTGCTTAATGAGTAAATCTAATAGCCTGCCCATGAAAGCTTTTTGATACAATAAGGTTTGATGACTCTGACAATTTTAGGTTGTTTGTATTTCTATAGAATTCATGGTTAAATGAAATTCTTCATCTACCATTTCATTTTCTCTAATTAGGCAAAATTTTCTCTCATTGGGTTTTTTCTCTCAAAGATTAAATGTCTGTCTTCATCTGTTTTTGTTAAGGGTCAGTTTTCACTACCATATTTTTTTAATCATTTGTTATTGTTGTCCAGAAAAAAAGTAAAGAATTTCATAATAATTATAAAATAAATAAAATTTGTAATGAATGTTTTGTAGAATCTTAAAGATATATTTAAAACTAAATGTAATAATTACCTTGAAGAACGGCAATGTTTTTTTGGTCTTTTACCTCTACTTTAACATACTCATTTTGTGGTAAACAGAGAAAATTTGCACCACCTCCTTGACCTTCAGGACCGACAATTGTGCCGTTGGACATTGTTTCAGTTGCCTCCGAACAATTACTTTTACCCCAATGAATGTAAGTAGCTCCATTCCCCCGACTCAAGCTCCATTCTATGAGTAGAAAAAAAAAAGTTTTAATCGAATAAAAGTAACAAAAAAAATAAAAAACAAAACAAAAATATTATTATAATAATATAATAAATCAAGACAATATCATTTTCTAAATGGCTTGTGAGGAATATTTTAAAATAATCCAAAAACTCCAGCCAAAAATCCATTGACTATTTACTTGGAACAGCCAGCCTTGTTATTTTGTTGAGTGCAAATAAAAATAAATATAAATAAATAAATATATACAGTTGGACTTCTATTTAACGAACTTCCATTTTGCGAATTTCTCTATTTTGCGATTTTTTTCGAGGAAAAAAGAACATTTTGGAAATTTCTTCGTAAAATAATTTCCAAAAAGCGAAGTGAATTTTCTATTTAACGAACTTTTTTTTGAGATCCACTTTCCCTATTTCCCATATTTCAGAACATTTCAAACTTGTTAACGCATTTTATGGGGGAAGTGATCTTTAGTTGATTTTTGAACCCAAACTTTTAAAGAAAGCAGTAAAACCCTTTTCCCTTGTCGTTTGCATTTTAAATGAAAAACTCAGACAAAATTAACGAATTTTATCAGTAGTAATTATAATTAAGAACACACGTGGTAATGTGTGTTTAAAATTAGTTTCATAATAAATGCACCTATAATTTATACAGAAATTTAGCCTTTTTTAGTGAAAAATGTAAGTAGCACGATAGTATAACAAAATGTTTTGCTTTATTCTTGTTTTACATACAGATTTCTTTTAAGATTAAAACTGAAAAATAAATAGTAAATACTAGTTAACAAGATGAAGGTATATCAATTGCTATTTTAATTATGTCTAGAATTTATAAATTTAGGATCTGTTTTGTGTTGTTTAAGTATTTCAAAAGGTGATTTTCCATATAAAAAACTTTTTATCGGGATTTAGTGACTTCATTAAATAGAGGTTCGACTGTAAATAAATAATTAAATAAATAAATAAATAAATTAATTTAAAAGTAGAAGAAATGATTAGAAGTCGGAATAGAAAAAATAAATTGGTACGTGTATGAATATTTTGAGTACGTTAAAGTATATAAGTTTTGAAAATTATTCTTTATCTTAAATAATAATTAATCTTAAATATTACGAAAATGTCTTTTTCTATCCTGTTTAATTTCTTTATTATTCTTATCTTACTTCCTTGTTTCAATAAGGATGATTTAGTCTTTCCAGTGGTATGAATATTGAATTGGTTAAGTCAAAATAGAAAAAAATTAATTGGTACGATTATATCGAATACCTTAAATACGTCAGTTTTGAAAATTACTTTTCATATTTATTTATTCATCTTAAATATCATGATAATGTGCCCCTTCTATCCTGTTTAATTTCTTATATAAACATTTAACCGAAGATTAATTTACAGTTGTGTTACTTACCTCCTTGATCTTGAGCCTAAAAAATGAAAAAAAAAATGTTTTAGTTAAGGAAACAAGTGTAAATTTTATAAAATTACGAGAGTTTACATTTCAGATGATCATTTAATTTCATTAAAAACAACACTTTAAAATCACAAATAGTAAAAATGTAGTAAAATCCTAAGCGCGTTTCAATATCACAATCAATATTCATCAGTAGGACAGGTTATTGTTGTTGCTTGGAGACCAGATCTCACAATTAAATCAAAAACTCCATCCTCCTCATTCAACAGCTGCCCCACAGAGGCACAAATGCAATTTAAGATATGAGAGGGCGATGACAGAACAGCATAAGTCATATCGTTTCCGTTAAAGATTAGACTCTTAACCCCTTCCTTCTCGCTCCCGTGTAAATGACGTGGTGAGGTTTCACCCTCTATTTCTTGCTCCCGTGATATTGACGGGCTGGAGTGTTTAGTAGTAACGCGCCAATAAGAATTAAACTAATTAATTTCTTTTGCCCCGAAAACATTTTATTTCTCATTTTACACACCAGATGGCAGTACCAGGATATTTTTAAGGTAATTGCAGATATTTATTTTATTTTAAACTAGATGTCAGCACTAATCAAATACATAATACAAATACGAAAGCCAAAAAAATAGGGACTTTTATGACCGTTTTCTTGAAAATTAACCGATCGTTAAGGGGTTAATGTGACCAGTCCTAAGTCTAGATAGTGTGGTCTGAGCAAGTCTTGGACAGGAGCACTGCAATGACAGTCCAAGGGACTCACATATCAGGCATGTTCGGGTGGGGTTCTCCAAGTGGCGTTTACATTAGCCAAAAACAGGGAGTGGACCTCAGAAGTTCGCAGTTTAACTATTATTATTTATTGTAGCTTATTCCAGTGATTGCGGTGATCCAGTGACAGCGGTATCAAGGATAAGGATATGCGTTGGAAGCTCCTTTTACTGTTATGCATTAAACCACACAACTGGAATAATTTATTTCAAGCAAAATCTTTTAATAATTTTAAACAAATAAGGATGGAAAAATAAACTCGATTGAAGTATGCTTAAAGTATACCCTGAAATATATCTCGAATAAATTTTGAAATCGATAAATAAAAAAATACTTTTTCGACAATTTCGTGTAAGTTGGAAACGTTAACTTGTTTGATATAACTGTCTTTGAAACTATTTAACTTTGATTTCTGGTGTTAAGGGACATTCCATTTTCTCACTCATTTTTTTGAAATTTCAATTGTAAAAGGAATTTTTTTACGTCCTTAAAATTTTTTTAAGACTTGCATTGACTCTATAGAACTGGTTCCCAACCTATCAACCTATTTAGATCAACTCCTACATTTTTATTATCACAAGAAGGTTATTCCCTCCTTCAAATTTACAAACATATACAATATTTATTCAGATTTTTATTATTTCATAACAAGTTTTAAAAATTAAACAACAAAGGCAGGAAAGAGTTTAATATACCAATTTTTTTATATTTTTTCTCTTCGATTTTCAAACTAATAATTTAAGCGTAAGGAATAGTATTTTAATTATACAGAAAAAGTATTAGTTTAGCAAACTGTGTTGTTAGTAATTTTTTGTTTAATGGGATTCTTGTGGTAGTTTTTTCTTCGCGAATTCTTTGATACATGGAGTAGCGTTTGCTAAGGCAAAGTTACTTTTGAAGTCAAAGTCACAGTGATCAATTTCAACTCCCAATCTGTGTCTCTAAGTCTACGTAACTTGATAGAGGTCTTATATCGGATGATATTTTGGCCAGATTTTGGTTTTATTTGATTTGTTAGTTTTTTTCATTGCAAAAAAAAAAAAAAAAAAAAAAAAAAAAAAAAAAAAAAAAAATTNAAAAAAAAAAAATAAAAATAAAAATCGTATGATAAAAAACGTTAAAAAATTCAAAAAAAAAATTCAAAAAACGATTCACTACAAAATGAGGAAAATTGTGATCACCGCAGGGCGATCACATGTTACCCATTGGCAAAATAGTTGCAGTCTAATTTTTTTTGGAAAAGAAACTTTAATTGTGTTTTCATCTAGGACATCTTTAACTGTTAATCCTGAACTGCTCAGTACACAATTTCGCAGACATATTTGAATTCAGCTCAGACGCATTCTGTGTAAGTTCTATTGAAAACTGAATAGACATTGAACAGTCAATCGAGATCAATATTAACATTTTCGGAATGGTACAATGGTGTTTAAAGGAGATTGTAAGCTGCATCATACATCCGTTTCGGATTCATGAGTTCATACATGAAATATGATTTGAAAGCTTGGCGTTTTTTCAATTTTGCATGAATAGTGAATGAATCATTTATATTGCGTGGAAGACAGTCTATGGTCTTGTGCAAGTCATTGGGTATGTTGACAATGGATCCTTTTAGTGATCAAAACCCAGTTCTGGGGCCCTATTACCAACTCATCGAAACTTATTCCGCTCGGAAACGATTCCGATCGGAAACTAGCTTTCATCGGATTGCCAATTTCGTAAAACCCACTTTGCCGTAACATGAGCATATCGGAATCCGGAATCGAAATCGCCATTCCACACGATTCCGGTGAAATTGAAGTATGTAGGCGGGGCTAACTTTGACCAATTAGAAAATTATTATAATTCTAATTTATTAATCTGGCAACGATATGTTTGTATTCTCTACTTCTATGCGAGTTAAAATCGCATTAACTTAGAACTGAAAGCTTAAAAATTCATACATTTTCAACAATTTTGTGTTCTAAAAGCCAAGTTGGTGTTTATTTGAAATATAGAGAGTAGTGTAGAGTGAAATTACAATATAGTATTTTCAAATGGCTTCACTTACAAAAATTAATATTCGCCTCCAAACAATGATTGTGGAATGCCTAGAAAACAATCCAGATTAAAATAAAGGATTTTTTTTTTATGTAGCTTTTGTTATTAATTTCCACAATCCGATATTATTCATTTACACTACTGAATTTCGCCTATGAGTAACACCATTTAAAAAAAAACTAATTTCCAATCTAAATTAATTTCTAAATTTTGTTGTCGGGATATTGGAATACCCAAAATCTTTTAAGCCGATAGATCTTTCTCTTAATAGTGTTTCGATCACTCTCTTCAGCAATAGCTGGCTGTATGACGGAAAACAGTGCCATTTTGTTCACTGAAATATATAAACTCTTATCGGAATCTAGATTTCGCTTACTCTTAAACCTGCCGGAATGGGATTCGTAATAATTTCGCATCGGAATTTAGTTCCGAGCGGAATCAAGAGCTCGTAATACGACTTAACTGACATTCACGGATTTATGAAGTCACGAGAGTTTCATTTCGATCGGAATCAGATTCCGTGAAGCTGGTAATAGGGCCCCTGGTATTTGCATGAAAGAGGTTCGGAGAGCCACCATTCGCTCTTCGGTAGGGTTGAATTTTCCCAACCACTTTGGTACTTTTGTGAGGGACGGGCTTCATGCTTGCGTTAGCGAACGGAATTCTTTCGTTTTTCCGTTTGTGTGTAACGCTTAAGGTACTCCTGTCTAAGTTCTTTAGCTTTTCAGCCTAGGTAAGTTTAGGCCTTGGCATCGTTTTTTTTTTTTGCTTCAACTTTTGGGACCATGTCAATCGGTTTGGACACTCTTTATTTGTGATATTCACCTGTCATACTCCTGTGATGCTCACCATTATTGTGAAAACGATTCAGTTTGAACTGTAGGTTAGAATTTCTGATTCCTAATTAAAACAATAAAAACGAAAATATCGTTCAAATGATGAAATTCTCTTTATTCACAACTCAAGAAGTATTTATGGGATCTCTCTGGTCCTCAAAAATAAACTCACCAACTTAATGCATAACATAATTAAAAGTGAAAAAAAAATTCTAAAAAAATTATCAAACAGTAGCTGTCACCATAGCAACGAATGCGCACTGTTTACTATTACTCTTGATTATTGTAGTTGAAAAGTGAGGACGCCATGAAATCCAAACCAGGACCCATTTTGCCAATGGGTAAAAAAACAATTTGTCTCATTTAATTAGTTTTACTTGTGCAATAAAATGTAAATTCGAGGCAGTATGTTCTTACAATTTTAATTTGCGACAATTTCTAAAAATTTGCGATTACGTGTAATAAGGTTCAATATAGCAGGTTATTTTAAGCAAATTTATAAATTGGAACTGCGTCAAAATTTCCGAGTCTTCCGGTCCCAATAAATTATGAAAGATAAATCTAAAATTATAAACGTCGCAAAAAAAAAAAAAAAAAAAAAAAAAAAAAAAAAAGAAAAGAAAAAAATACGCGATTGCTGTCCATAAGAACAAATGCTTTTTCTTAATATATTGCTGAATTACATGTGAATAGAGCGCGTTCTCATATACTTAATACGAAATTAAGAGGTCACGGAAATTTCTAATCGGCTTTTTTAAGTGATCATCTTTTGACGGGCTTGATTTTGAAACGACCTTATCATAAATCAATATTGTTTTTCAGCAATTATTTTAGATTTCTATATAGTTTTTTTGCAATCCTGATTTCTTAATAGGATATTATTACGAATTGCGAAGAGAATTTCGAATTGCGAATGTGTATTATATAACTTTTTAACTCACGTGGTCGACTCGCTCCGACTTTGACATGATTTCACATTATTTTTCGAACTACTTTTTCGGACTACTTTTAAATGTCTTATGCGTAATTCAATATTTTGGTTCATGTTAAATCATCACATCGTTAAAATTTGTTGCAATTTCATTATGGTATTAAATGGAATATACTTAATCTTTATAAAAAAAGGTATGCACAATTTTCCCTCATTTACATCATTTAGATAAGATAATAAGGGTAAGATAGACTTTTAGACCTTCCCCTTTTTTTCATTTCAAAGTTTTGGAGTCTGATTAGAAATTGAGAAATTGAAAATTTGTTGTTTTAAGCCGAACAATAAAGAAAAAAATTGTGAGATGAAGAAATTGCTTTTACCTTTGACAACTAACCTATTTTTTTGTGCACAAATTTCTGTTGCATCTCTCTGTTTTTTATTATTTTTCAATAACTTGTACAGCACGCAAAAAGTATCGATAACTTTTGATTTGATGTTTGGATTATAATATACTAGGACTAATTTGTTCAAAAGTCTAACCTTAAATATTCAAATTAATAAGGGCAGGCGACACATTAAATTATTAAATCAGTTACAAAATGTACTTTAACTGAATAAATATATTTCATTTTCGACGTATCCAAATTTTTAACCCTCAAAATATGGGGAGTCACTACAATCTGGAAAATAGGGTCTCAATAGTATAGAACGATCTAAAGTTTGAGCCCTTTAATGTTAATTTCAGTGTTTGCACATTTCACCATATGAAAGAACTTCGAATTTTTAAAATTTTATATCTCAAGAACTATTTGATTGATTTCCTTCAAATTTTGGATTTCGATGTCTAAAATTACGCAGTTTAAACTAATGTAAAAACTTTACAATTCAAAATGCACTTCAGAATTCAAAAAATTTGATCATTAGTTAATTATATCTTAAAAAAAAAGAAATAATTACTAAAAAAGAAATCAATTTCGTAACTTCAAATATCATCTGTGCTAATTAATTTACATAGTTAAGTTGAGGTCCTTGAACCATTAAGATTGTAAATGAAAATACAATTATCTAATCAAAAGTTATTTTGGATGTTCGCTTTTTTAGCGCATTGTAGGGGAGAGTGGGGTCAATTGTAACAGGGTACGATTGTAAAAGAGCAAAAATTTCGAGTGTCGGGTTCTAGATTTGGTTCCTAGGTGGTACACAAGATGTATTTAATAAATCTACATGTACACGCCTGCTGGCAACCATTTTTATGTACTTTTGAAAGACTTACACCACAAAAGATATTTTCACGCTAGTTAAGTACCTTTTTTGGTATTAGAATATTATATTGTAACGAAGTAATTTTGTTTAAACAAATGAAAATTATTAACCGAATATGTAAGTGAACATTAACATTTAAATTAACATTTCAATAAAAAAAAACTAGTTTTGTGAATTAACTAGCATTGTTTTTAACAAATGAAGCTGAAATGGCGCCTTGGGGACGATTGTAACAGCTGAAAATTAATAATCTTATGTTTACAAACCATTACTTAACTCTTTAAGAACCACCAATAGTTTCCTATATCATTTATATTATGTTGCATGTGCATTATTTTATTTATCACCTTTCACAGCATACATTAAAATTTTTATCCCCTTAAAGTTAAAAGTTTAACCCTTTAGGTCTCTGCTCATTATTATTTTTACTCCTAAAATATCACTACTATTTTGATCAATAAAAAAATATATATGACAACTATGATAATACGTATAATTAAATATGTTTTAGCTGAATTTATAAACTGTTACAATTGATCCCGTAAGTGGGGACAATTGTAACAAGTGCACGACTGTCAAAAATTGTTAATAACTAATATAATAACATTTAAAATAAGGTATTTATTTTTTTTTCTAGTAGAGGATAGTCCACTTTACTCGTCTGTCAATTAATACTAATAATATATTGGATTTTTTGTTAGTTAAAAATAATTAAGTAAAAAATGTTACAATTGATCTCACTCTCCCCTACATTTATTAGAAGCAGTGGTTAATACATAAAATGTTAATCAAAAGTCAAATTTTAATCTATATTTACCACAGTCTCTCTTAAGAATAAATATTTCTTGTAGTATATTCCAGGAACTGAATTCCCATAGCTGTCCTCTGCTTTCTTAAGCTGTTCACTGCCTTTCGACAAGTCAAGATCTCCTATCACTTCATAAAAGGGGCGTATCTTCTTATTTATATCTGTATAAAACTCTCCAATCTATTAGAACAGTAAAACATTAGTGTAAAAATAATTAATTTAATGCAATAATCTAGTAAAACAATTACGATTTGGAAAAAAAAAGAGTTTTTGAACAAATATTAATTCTAAAAATCTATTAGTACACTTTTCATTTAAGAAATTTAATACAACATTAAAGAATATCTACTCAAACAATATCGATTCTAAAGATCTGTTAGAACAATTTTGATTAAAAAAAATCTATTAGAACAATAAAACAAAGCGTATTAAAATATTGTTCGTAACAAAATCGTATCGAAACAATATCGTAACAAAAATCTATTAGAACAGTGCTGATTTAAAAATCTATTACAACAATAAAACATATCTATTAGAATTAAACAGAAATAAATGTTTATTTTACGAAACTGTTCATTAAATTATCTGAGATGAACTAATTTCACATTATTTTTTTTTTGTCTTATAATCTTCATATACTTTACTTTTTAATTTCTTTTTCTCAAATAGTACTTAGATAGAAATGTATAGTTTTTTGTATTTTCCTTAGGAAACGAGATTTTCCTCTCAAAGTTAAAAAGAATAATGAAAGCGCTCGTTAATAGATGGCGCTGCTAATAACTTGAAGAGCCATAAATAACATGTTTCAAATTCCGATGATTTCCAGCAACAATGTGATGTTATTCTAGGACAAAATTAACAGATGCCCATGCGATTGTTCTAGTTGTTTATTACTTTAAATCATTTCCGGTCAGCAGCATTATCTATTTATGAACCTTGTATTGAGATTTTAGGGAACCTGGTTTCATGGCAGAGCAGAGTAAACTATATTTTGCTCTCGTTTCTCTTTAATTCTTTTTTCAAACCGCCAGTCGTTTTCCTACACCCAGTACAAAGTAACATAAATAAATCTTTATTATTTCTAATTATTGTGAATTAAAGTTAGTGACATATTTCTCACACATCAGGTCTTTAATGATAGATTAGATGTCACTTTAAAAGTTTTTAAATTTTTTTTTAACCTTTTTTTCCTGATCAGAAGTGAGGTGTTGATTTAAGACTTTCATCCAATTACCGATGGCAGCTTTTGTATTTAAGAGATCATCGAATTTTCTTTCAAAATCTTCTAAACTAGCTTCCAATGCCCTAAAACAAAATTAAGAATATTTTTTTTGGACTAAAACCATTGAAATAATTAATTGAAAAAGTGAAAAGCTTGTTACTTAATTCGGGTGAATAATCTAATTTAAAATAATCTAAAAAAGTAATTAACTTAATCTAATTTGAGTGCCTGGAACTTAAATTAAGTCTGTTTTATCCTAACGAAAGGTACATTAAAACTCTACGTATACATTAATATTTTTTTTTGTAACGAACATCAGCTTTTAAAAAATCAGCTTTTAAAGCTTGCTATAAAGTAATGATGTCAAATAATATGATTGCTAAATCGTATTTTTATAAAAAAAAAAATATACATAATTGTAAAAAAATAAGTGGAAAAATCATACATCATTTGACACTATTGAAAAGCATCGTACTTTTCAGATTTGCTTTTATAATATTTAATTCTTTTTTCAGAAATAAAAACAATGTTTTTCAGGGTAGTTACAAGTTCAAAATACAAATGTATTGGAGAAGAAAAACGCAAGTGGCAGTAAAATCTGTATTCTATTGATATTTTTGTTGTATGCACTAATGCAGTATACTTTTCTATTAAAATAAAATTATATACATACTTACTAATGTACTTTTCTGTTTAAATAAAATTAGCACTATATAACTTTTTTCATTGAAATTTAGCACGCTAAGATCATTATCTTCATGGGAAAAATTATTGGCGTTGAGCACGTTACATTTTTTGGACATTTCCTATATTTCACATGTAGGAAAATGATATTTTATCGCAGAAATATTGTATAAAAGCATAAGAAAATGCTTAACTACTTGTAAAATAATACGAAGATGTAAAAATAAGTTTATAGTATTAACTCTAATTTATTTATATATTTTTGTAGAAATAATAGTGCGGTTTCATAAGCTATTTTTTGGGAAATGAATCAAAACGCTAAATTGCTTTGTCCTTCGTAAGGTTACATAACTAATCTATTGCTGCTATTTGTTAAAGATATTATCAAGTAATTGTATATCGGTCAGAGGTTTGTTTTTACTTGTAGCTCTTTTCTTACTTGCGTAATTCGAAATTTTCTTTTCATAAAGTAATGTTACATCAGAAAAACATATTTAAATTTGAGAAAAAAAGGGTAAAAATTATTTATATCTATCATCTACAGTGTACATCATCAAAACATAAGGCATTATCGAAAAAATCACTCTAGAAAATATTCTAGACTACACAAAATTGAAGATATATTCAAGTGATGATTATTTAATAATGATCCGTTTATTTCTCAACAGGGTATTACTTCTAAAAAAATGTAAAAAACACTCAATCCCACTATAAAAAAAATTTTAGTTGCAAAAAATAATTCGAATAATTGGAATATATGACATATTTTTTGTATGCATTTTGTGTAAAAAAGTGCAATAATCACGTAAAAAATTTCCAATTTCACTACTAGAATTTTCTTTCTAAAATTACGGTAAAATAACCGGCAGCAGTCTACCCATCCAATAAACCATAAGGTTTATGGTGAAGACCATTTTTATATTTACGGTTTTGAAACAGTTTACATCTAGAATGGTCAAAAAACCATAAAAAAGGAATTTAACTGGGCATAGTTTAGCTGCTTTATGGTGCTGCCATCTATGCGTGAATTATCTATGCGTATTCTAATAGTCCAGTGCAGGACACTGGAAACTCTTCATGTGCTGACGGGAAAAGAGGAAATATTGTGGTGACAACTCTGGGACTCGAACCCTGTTCTGTCAGTCATGAGATTGACAGATTAGCTTTCTTTGTTACAATATGTACCCAGCTGCAAGGAACTAAGTTCAACGAGTTCACTATATTTATTCATTCAGATTGCCAGAGTATTAAAAGGTTTAATGCAATAAGCCAATTTAAATTTTTGGAAATTTCACTAGTCTAATTACACAAGTTGAGTGTAATAAACCTGATAATTATCAGGCCGAAGAGAGAACAGAGGATTCTAATTAGCCTAGCGAGTTTCTAACTGCTGAGACAATTTGTAAGAAACCAGTTTTTATAATAAACCTAGGACTTACAATAGGCGTAGGATACATACTTCAAGCGTCAGAATTTTAATTTTAAAATATATTTTATTTAATAATATAAGAACTAAATGAGGATAAAATTTTTCTATCGTTTCATCAACTTGATTCCATAGTTGTAAATTGATTTTTTTTTCAAGCTGCAACAAATATGTGAACAAATATTATACTCTGTTGCAAATTAATAAAAAGCCATTATCACTAAGGAGAAAGCCTGTTTGCATCTAAGTGCATGCCAAATGGATGCCAAGCTCCCAGCGTGAACGTATATTAACATCGCTAACTCTTGAAACGATGTTGCACTTTCTTTTTGCTTGCTTTCTTAAATCGTGTGAAATGAGGAAAACAAAACTTATTGAATTAAAGCTATTGTTTTGTTTCCCGACAAATTAGAAAATTGCATCATGTTTAAATTTTATTGATAATATTTTTATAAAAATGAATCAGAAAGAAGCATTTGAACGAGAAGCAGGGAACAAATTCTTAGATGGAGTAGACATTACGAAAACTGTCATTAAATAACGCGACTTATTGCAAATTCAAACCGAAAATTGTAAACGATAACGAACAAATAAGAGTTATTAACATTAATAATCAACTAACAATAATAATCAACTATCAAGTTATAAGAAATAACAAAAATTATATCAAAAATTCGTAATAAATATGCATGTTTCTGTTCTCATTAAAAAAAAAACTGATGAAAGAATAATAAATATTGTTTCTCGCAGACGTTTTTTTTACGGCTAAAAAAATAATTCTTTATCTCGCATTTGATTTGCTGAAAGCATGTCAGCAAAAGATGAGTGATTTTTAGTAGTCCAATCAAATCCAATATTCTTGCAACGCAATGTAGTTGTTTCTTTTACAAGAACACATGTTCTCCTTATATATCAAAATATGTCACTCAAAGTAAGACTACGAAACTATTACTTTTAAAAAAAATAATAATAATTCTCTGATTTATATTGTAAGAGATAGCATGAATTAAATTTCTGTCAGACGTGTTTAACTTAAAAGCTTTTATATTGTTTTGAAAGCAGGTTTGTATAGTTTGATAAAGAAAGAACACGGAACTATATGTAGTCGGGGATGATTCTATAAATCCTATACCGCAATGATCTTTTCTTAACTTACAACGGATTATAAGCAACTACACAAAATGTCTCTAAACATAATCAGTTGTGACTGAAAACAAACTTGATACTGAATGATAACAGCATAAACTAATACCTGTTTTTAAGTTTTTCCGGTAAGGTAGCATCTAAAACGTTCAGTGGCCACAGTTCCATCTTAATAGGAATGCCTTTTCCGCCATTAAAACTTTTCAGGTCCTCCGGGAATTGACTGAGCACAAGTTTTAACGTGTCCATGTCGTTGGGAGCTTTATTCAGAGGTATGGAGCTAAATATTTTGATTTGCGTTGATTGCACTGTTTTTGATAAGTCTTTCATGTATTCTGCTTCAGCTATTGGATGAAGAAATAATTGAAGGGATTCAAGTGAGTGAAGGAGGTATAAAGAAGAAAGATTTGAAGAAATTATCTTTAAAACTATTCACACTCTAGCTTACTACATTGTAATAAAATGTTTTGGAACTTTTTTTTCATTCATTTTCTAATCGTTGGGAGCTTTATTCTGAGGTATGGAGCTAAATATTTTGATTTGCGTTGATTGCACCGTTTTTGCTAAGTCTTTCATGTATTCTGCTTCAGCTATTGGGTAAAGAAATAATTGAAGGGATTCAAGTGAGTGAAGGAAGTATAAAGAAGAAAGATTTGAAGAAATTATCTTTAAAACTATTCACACTCCAAATTACTACATTGTAATAAAATGTTTTGGATTTTTTTTTCATTCCTTCTTGTCTTTATTTGTAATTATAATAATATTAATTAAATGAAAGAAAAAAAAAAGAGCATTTCATTATATCAAAAGAAACAGGAGTGAGTGTTGTAGCTTGAAATGCTTTTCATATCTTAGTTTTTAGCTTCGACAATTATATTCAGATTCTCTATCGAAAGACAAGCTTTCATGCATAAAAGTTTTCTTTTTTATAAATTAAACAAATTTGAAATAATAAAATGAAGATTTTGTGGGGGTGTCTCTCTCTTAAATCTCTCGAAACATTTATGCTGTTATCCTAAAATTTGGACAGTGAGTCAAAGGGACAATTTAAGCCGCCGAGCCTAAAAATGATTCAAAAATTTAAATTAAATAGTCAGGGAGAGATATTTCAAATATGGAATTTTCTCATTAGTTCAGAACTAGCCATTGATAAAAATTAAACTTGTCGACTATTCTGTTTTTTTTTCTTCTAATATTTTAAAAATAACATTGATGATGTTTTTTAGATAATTGCTCTCATTAAAAAAGTTTTCTCTCCGCCCTTTAATAATTAGTTGTTTTTCATTCGTTATGTCATAAACTCAATGATTAACCTGAAAGTAATGTACTCAATGATCAATGTCAACATTGGCGGACTACGCATTGCATAGTAGCATTGGCGGACTACGTCAAAAAATTAGTGTTTCTAATTTTAAAAGCTATCTGAAACCTATCTGAAACCATGCGTTTATTTTGTTTATAGTTGGGCTAATTAGTTTAGAACTAGCCATTGATAAAAATTAAACTTGCCGACTATTCTGTTTTTTTCTTCCAATATTTAAAAAATAACATTGATAATGTTTTCCAGATAATTACTCTCATTAAAAAAGAAATTTATTCTCCGTTCTTTAATAATTAATTGTTTTTATTCGTTATGACATAAACTCAATGATTAACGTGAAAGTAATGTACTCAATGATCAATGTCAACATACTAGCATTGGTGGACTACGTCAAAAAATTAGTGTTCCTGAAGCTATTTATTATGTGTTTATTTTGTTTATAGTTGGGCTTTAGAAAGGTGTTTCTGCAAAACTAATTGAAATTGGAAAACGAACAGCATTTAAAATAAAAAAAGTTATGTACTGAAAAGCAAAATTAAAGAAGGAATAGTACTATTTCGCTTCGTTGAAACGAAAAGAATCATTATTGATGCCAATGATTCTCGATTAAATTTCGTGAAAGTTACTGATATTATGGTAACTGGTGCAGTTTTGAACGGTACCAAATATACTAATACAGGTTTTAAAAGTATTATATTAGTGAATTTGATGTCTATCAAAATTGTGCAGTTTTAACATAGATACTGTGAAAAGAAGTTTCTACTGCCCATTGAAAGGGGAAAATAGCTAAGGAAATTGCTTGAGNGATTGCACCGTTTTTGATAAGTCTTTCATGTATTCTGCTTCAGCTATTGGGTAAAGAAATAATTGAAAGGATTCAAGTGAGTGAGGGAGGTATAAAGAAGAAGGATTTGAAGAAATTATCTTTTAAACTATTCACAATCTAGATTACTACATTGTAATAAAATGTTTTGGAACTTTTTTTTTTTAAATTCCTCCTTGTCTTTATTTAAAATAACAATAATATTAATTAAATGAAAGGAAAAAAAACATTTCATTATATCAAAACAAATAGGGATGAGTGTTGTAGCTTGAGATGCTTTTCCTACCTTAGTTTTTAGCTTCCACAATTATATTCAGATTTACAATCGAAAGACAAGCTTTCAAAGCATGAAAGTTTTCTTTTTTATAAAGTATTTTTCGTGCGCATACAAATTTGAAATAATAAAATGAAGAGTTTGTGGGGGTGTCTCTCTTATATCTCTCGAAACCTTTATGCTGTTATCCTAAAATGTGGACAGTGAGTCAAAGGGACAATTTAAGCCTCCGAGCCTAAAAATGATTCAAAAATTTAAAGTAGATAGTCCGGGAGAGGTATTTGAAAAAGGAAATTTTCTAATTAGTTTAGAACTAGCTATTGATAAAAATTAAACTTGCCGACTATTCTGTTTTCTTTCCTTCCAATATTTTAAAATTAACATTGCTGATGTTTTCTAGATAATTACTCTCATTAAAAAAGAAGTTTATTCTCCGTTCTTTAATAATTAATTGTTTTTCATTCGTTATGTCATAAACTCAATGATTAACCTGAAAGTAATGTACTCAATGATCAATGTCAACATAGTAGCATTGGTGGACTACGTCAGAAAATTAGTGTTTCTAAAGCTATCAGAAACCTATCTGAAACCATGTGTTTATTTTGTTTATAGTTGGGCTTTAGAAAGGTGTTTCTGTAAAACTTATTAAAATTGGAAAACAAACAGTATTAAAAAAAAAAAGCTTAGTACTGAAAAGCAAAATTAAGGAAGGAATAGTACTATTTCGCTTCGGCGAAACGAAAAGAATCATTGTTGATGCCAATGATTCTCGATTAAATTTAGTAATAGTTACTGATAATATGGTAATTGGTGCAGTTTTGATAGGTACCAAATATACTAATATAGGTTTTTAAAAAGTATTACATTAGTAAATTTGGCGTCTATGAAAATTGTGGATTTTAGCATAGATAATGTGAAAAGAAGTTTCTACGGCCCGTCAAAAGGGGAAAATAACCAAGGAAATTGCTTGAGTTTGGTAGATTTTAACTCTCGTAAGTTGTCCTCGGGCAACGGCATCATGCCAAATGATACTAAATTCAGTAAGATTTTGTTTTGATGGGATGAGCTACTAAAACATGTTTTGTTTAATCTAATAATGTAAAGTAACAGGGAAGAGCAAAATATAATATTAAATAAAAAATATCGGAACAATGTTTGCTCTAGTTACTGTGTGAGTATGCGTCTTTCACTGTTGTCCAGTACTGATTTATTGATTTTTTTCATTCCGTACGAAGAACAGGTATTCAGCTAGTTCAAAACGGAAATTTGTCAATTACTTAAACTGATAATTACACATTGCCGCAATATAGAACACCTTGTTGTAACTTTGGATTCGTATTATTTTTATCATTGTCTGAAAAAAAGTAATATTTTTTAAGGCACTAAATTATGATAACATGCATTGCATATTTGTTCAATAAAGAATATAAGTTTTCAATATAAAAGTAATGTGTTAAAACAGTCAATGTAAAACCACGAAAAATGGATCGATCATATATGAAATTTCTTATAGCCTTTAATACAGCAAAAATGAAAGGTAATATTACAGTGAAACCTCACAAGTTATCTACTATTGTTAAGAATCAAATTTATTCTATAGAATAAAAAAATAAAGAAAACTTTTGTAACCTCACTATCTGTCTATCTTGTTTGTTGACTGCTGAAAGAATTTAAATTTGTCTATGATTGCTATTGAATACTATTCTAATTAATTATGTCCCAAGGTAGAATACTACACTCTTCCCTTCACTAGTAAAATAGCAAAAGATCCGTTTTTGGATCTCTAACTTCATTGGTTGTAACTTCAAAATTGAAGATTATGGAAGAAATGAAACTAACAGAATGAGAAGAAATTTGCAGATGAGAAAATGGAAAAAAATTACAATATCATTATGTGTCAGCATCTGAAAACAGAGTCAATTTATAACTTATTATATTCAGGCTAATTAAAAATTAGCCTTAATGAGGCTTATTTTTTATTACATGCGTAATAAGAATCACTTAATTCTAACCTCTTAAGCTTCAAACAATGTCTGAAAACGAGATTTTTTTTCCTCACAAAAAACTGTATAAGAAAAAATAAACTCATAAGAGAAAATGAACTTTTTTATTCAAATATTTGTTTTATTAAAACCAATTGAGAGTATTAAAATAAATTCAATTATAATTATACACTTTTTTTAATAATTAAGATAAAAATTTATGAAAGTTCATTTTTTTAATATACTATAAAATAGAACGATACGTGCGTTTTTACATAAAACATGGGGCCCTGCCCCTTCGCACTATATATAAAGATCTCATCAATCCCTAAGATTGATGAGGAGTTATTATTATTTTTTTTTTTTTGGTTTCATCTTATGGTGAGAAACAGATTGTTACATCAAAATTCAAAAGTATTCAATTAAAAGATTACAAAATATTCTATTTTATTATGGCAGATTTAGTTTTTAAACTTAAGTTCCCAGTTCTTTATGGGATAAAATTTTAAACTAAATTTCTTGCAACTTCATCTACAAAGTTTTTAAAATTATTCGTTATCTTATGATTACTATAAGAACTCATTAAATGTTTTCGCCAAGAAGTTTATTTAGTTATAGCGTGAAAAGTTAATTTCTAATAATGTCTTATAGGTTTGTTTTCGTTTTATTAATTGATGTTGACTGAACACAACTTTGCACAAAGCTTGTAATCAAATTAAATATAATTTTTTACAGTTTAATAATTATAAAATGTGTAATAAGTTTCGATACAGATTTAACTATTTTTATTATAATAAGTTCATCATAATCATAATATGTTTATCATAGGTAATAAAAATAAATATAATTTATTTACTGTTTAACAATTGTTAAATGTATAGTTGAAGCAATAAAGAAAACAGTGGAAATAAAATAAAAATATGACCACCGAAGCCAACGTCTTCAGGGGGTACTGGCCTCGGAAACCATAAAACAAAACCTATTCTATTGAGAGAGAGGACAAATACCAAAATTAACTCTCTCAGTACCCCGAAGGTTTTGTAGAAGTCCAAGAAAAAATACATGAAATACATAAAACCAAATCAGAAAAGAAATTTCAACAAAATCGTGAGAAAATAAAAACTCACATTAAACCGGTCAAACAGTGATTTCACAAACAAACTAAATGCAAAGGAAACTCTAAAACAAAAGAAAACAAAAGAAAACAAAAATTCTGCTGCTTTTAAGCGTGTTTCTTTCAAAGATAGTTTTGTCAATTTAGAATTTAATATTTTGTATTCTTTTACTATTGCAAAATGTATAGTAAGTTTCGATATCGTTTCGATAAGTTTCGATTAACTATGCTCATCATAATACGGTAATATAAGTAATAAAAGTAAATATAATTTTTTTACTGTTTAATAGTTATGAAACAGGTAATAAGTTCGAAACCAATTCAAATTTTAATTTTTTTTAATAATAAGCTGTAATAAGGTAGCATTATGCGAATTACTGCATAATGAGTAGAATCTCTGTATCTAACTTAGTTATGTTAGCTATCTAATTAAGACTTTTCCACCATGAAATTTTGAATAAAATTTCAGTATTGATTTACCTTGAGACAAAAACAAACACTTAAATAAAAGAAATTGACTTAAAAGAAATTATTATAGCCTTTAGTTTTTAATCAGATTAAAGCTAATGAAAATTAGTTTCAGGGAATGTGTCTAACTTCTTATTACTTGCATTACGAGAACTACTTAATTCCAACTGTTTTTGCTTTAACATATGAATGATAACGTTAATGGTTCATATATAACAAATAAATAACTATATTGATTGCAATAGAAAAAAAATTGCTTGGCTGCATTTAGAGAATGACGAATGATCATCCTAACATTACAAGATTATTGCCCCCTTGAAATTGTTTAAATTAGAAGCCTTAAAGAGAAAAATAATTCATAAATAAAAAAGAACTTCTTAGGAATTATAGATATTTTTTTACGCANGGCCCTACACGATATTAGGCAGGTATACCAGTTTTTTTGGCTCTTCAGTGTAATTATATTGATTGCAATAGAAAGAAAATTGCTTGGCCACGATATAAATTTTTAGAGAATGACAATCAGATGCGAATGATCATCCTAACAGTTCAAGATTGTTGCTCCCTTGAAATTATTTAAATTAGAAGCCTTAATACCTCTGGGGGTACTGATCCAGGAGTTTCCTTGTCTTCTGGATTGGTTCAAAATTACAAGGCTACGGAGTTGAACGTTAGTAGTCGTAAACCCATGAAATTGGGTCGGCTGTTCAACGACGGTTATAAAATAAAATAAAATTAGAAGCCTTAAAGAGAAAAATAATTAATAAATAAAAAAAAACTTTTTAGGGATTATAGATAATTTTTTATGCTCAATTCCTAAAGAGTATCACAATAATTTCTAAGGAATACAGAATTATGTCTGCCGATAAAGCTTTTTTACGGGCTATTATATAAAATCCTTATTTGACGTATTTTGTTTACTGCTCTTAGTCATGAACATTGACAAGACTTGATGAGTCTTATTTATGAAAATTTCAACTTAGCATTTTAAGAACTATTCTAGGAAGAGAGAAGGAAAATTATTGTTGAAGAAAACGATGCAATTCAGATCTAATGAGTTCTATTTAAAAAAAAATATAACCGATACAATTTAGGAGTAAAAGAAAGTTATTGCTCAAGAGGACGATACAATTCACATCGAATGAGTCCTATATAGGAAAACTTGCGGGAAATATTTTGAGAGCCAGTCTAAGAAGAGTTAAAAAAATTATTTTTGGAGAAGATAGAATTCCAAAATTTATAAATGCTTTAAGGACCTAAACATAATAAAATTTATCAAATTCAGTGATCTAAACTAGGCTGCTTATGTTTTTTGGAATAATGTTTTAAACTCTTGCAAAATGGCTCATTTTGGTAAAGTTCCAGGGACTAGGAAGAGGAAGATGACTAAAATAATGATGGAAAGACGCAGTTGAAAAAGATTTTGGAATATTAAGGGTTCAAAACTGTAGGATCATTATCACCTAGAGGGTTGCTAGGAAATTTCTTTAAAGCAAAGTCTTAGCCTACCTTTGGCTTCCATGCTACTGATAATGATGATGAGCAAATCATACGTTTTTTCACTCCTAAATATGAAATAACTATAGTAAAGTGCAATTTTCTCACCATTATTTATGCTATTATATAAGTTTTAAGAAAATTTCTAGAAAAGATCGAACACTAAATATTTGATTCTTTTTTTTTTTTTTTTTTNATATTTGATTCTTCTATTTTTTTTTGCATGCCTGTTCACAGGATTAAGAGATGTGTAGAAAGTTTGCACGCTCGTATTGTTAAAATTTTCGTATGTTTTTCTATAGTTATTTAACTTTTTTGTTCTGTAAATAATAAAATAGATCTCATTCAATATGGAAGTAGTGCATAGATACCTTCAACGCCAAGGTCGAAAACTTCAATTTTGCCTCCAACTTCAAGTGAGGCTGCAATTCTTTGCTTATCTCGAGTGCTGTTGCACTCCATTCGAATGGCTGCTATTAATTCTCCTCCATATGTGATGCTACGTACAAAATGTGTTCCCAAGGCATCACCCAGTTGTCTCCAAGTCTCTATTGGCTTTGCATCGGCTGGAATTTGTTCTGTAACCTGTAATGAGACAATCAAGCTATTTATAATCGAATATTAACAGAGTTAAGTTATTTGTAACAGAATAATAACAGAGTTAAGTTATTTATAGCAGAATATAAACTCAAATAAAGAAAAGCCAAGGCTTGAACAAAATTGCGCGTTACTATTTGTTCAGGGTTACTCAGACCTCTTTTAAACTTCAGACATCGTGCAACAGAATAATTAAAGAGCATTAGCTTTAGAGAAATAAAATGTTGCAAAATTAGGATCTTCAGTTGAACTCTTTGCTTACACGTATGTCTAAAACGTGTATGTTAAAAACAAGAAAATAAAACATGATGATCTAAGTTACCATCAGCAATATAGGGTTACTTAAACCAGCAAAGAGAACTTAATATCCGACTTATATCAGTTGGTAATGAAAAAACAAAAGCATAAACGAATGTAATTGTGTTGTTCATAATATTTATTAGCCAAAAAATACATAAAAAGAAGGACGACGACATAAAAAGTATTCTTTTACATTTTATATTTCAGAAGTTTTAACTATTAAGTAATAGTTATAACCAAACACGTCATGATATTTATTTCTCTAATCTATGTAAATGCAATATTTCATCTAACGATCAACACTGTTAACTGTTTCAAACATTAAAAGTCATAAAAAAAACGAAGATCTGCTTTTAAAAAAAGAATAAGCCTGTTTTCAGTCATGTATTACGAAGATAAAAAATATTATAGATTTAAAAAAGTAATCCTATAATTTGAACACTATTAAAGCGTATAGATATTAAAAAGATTATATGAAGCAATTATTAAATTCAGAATGTAATGTCTCATTTTGAGAAATAATATTTGCAAGAACTATTTCTAAAAACTACATGTTTTGTGATGCAAATTTGTAAAAATAGTTTCTGGATTGCCTTTGAGGTTTAAAAGATTTTGATACACCAGAAAGAAACCAGACTCACATTTCAATTGTAGAAAAAGTTAAAGATTGAATCCAAAGCGTGAGTCATTAACTTACTCCACAACTACTGATGTTCAAATGTGTTGGCTTTGATGTGCAATTTTGCAAAATTTATTTTTGAAGTGTACATTGTGGACGAAAATGTTTATACACGCTAAAGAAAAAAGAAAAACGAAAAACAAAGAGAAAGCTTACGAATTCAATCGCCATTTCTGAAGAAAAATAAAATAGAAAATGTGCAGCACTATTTCAAAGAATGAAATTTTTTGAATTTATTTTGAAATAATTTAATAGTATACACTACCGGTCAAAAGTTTGCGAAAATTTTGAAATCTACAAAAAAAAGTTCTAAATTCAAATGTTCATAGAACTGCGAAAAATCATTCAAATGGCATGAAAATTTGATATGTTCTAATGTGAACNTGGCAAGTGTTCAAACTTAACAACTTTTTTCACCATAAAAACAATCCGTGATGAAAAGCTGGATTCAGTTCGCAAAAAACAAAGTATTGCAATTTGATCATATGTAACTAACAGTAGAGGGTTCACTTCAGAACATATCAAATTTTCATGCCATTTGAATGATTTTTCGCAGTTCTATGAACATTTGAATTTAGGCCTTTTCTTTGCAGATTTAAAAATTTTCGCAAACTTTTGACCGGTAGTGTAGGTTTTGCAAATAATTTGCGAAATAAGCCATTAAAGAGCTGTTTCGACGTTTAACTATAAGCTACTCTGTTAAAGAAAACTTGAGATTCACTGTTGTTTCTTTTAAGAAATTAAAATTCGAATCCACAGCGTATGACTTTAAAACATCGATTTCTAAAACTCAATGGCTTGTTGGTGCAATTTCACCATCTTATTGTTAAATTTTTCATTGAGATATTTTCATTAAAATTCCCACCCCCCATCATCTTGCAAATAAGATTGTTGCATGATCTCAACTGTAATTGAAATTATGTATTCCTACATATTAAATTGGTTGTTGTTGTAGTTCATTTACGTCGCACTAGAGCTGCACAATGGGCTATTGGCGACGGTCTGGAAAACATCCCTAGGTATGATCCGAAGACATGGCATCACAATTTTGATCCTCTGCAGAGGGGATGGCACCTCCACTTCGGTAGCCCGACGACCTGCACGCGAAGTCGAGCACTTTACGGTAGAACAGTTTAACGAGGATCAATACCGCACACCCTCGATCCCTTAGCAGACTAATCCAAGTGATCACCCATCCACGCACTGACCACAGCCAGTGATGCTTGACTTCAGTGATCTGCGTTAAACTGGTAACTTTCCCCTATATTCAACTTGGGCCAGAGTTTTAATATTCAAACGTTTCTCCATATCGAAGGAAAAATAAGTAAAATTTTATAGAGTACGGTAAAAAAAGTTGAAAAACAAATAGGAACTCTCTGATTGTAAGTTTATTGATACACAATGCTTACTTGCTGATAAGAAGCCTTTATTGCAACTTCAACTGTATTTTCTCGGTTGTAGACATCTGACAAGTAGGCACCAGACGCACCAGCCTTGAAAACACCAGCTTTGACATTAAGTGAAAAGGAACCTTCAACATCTAAGAGGTTTCTAGATTCTACAGCATTGTCTACTATTTTATATTTCGTTTCTGTTAAAGGACTTTGTATAATCTATTACAAAATGTAAAAATAAATAAATAAATAAACACATCTATTTATTAAAGTAAATGGACGAACGAAAATTATCTAAATAACTTTGATACAATATAATTTTTAAAACAAAATACAGTAGACCTGACTCCAGTTTTATAAAGGTAGAAATAAACCAAATTAAATATTTTTGTAATTTAAATAATATTACTGTTTGGTAATTTAATATAAATTTTTTTTTATAAATGATTTAATTTTAAAATACAGCAAAAACATAAATTGCTAATATAAATATAAAAAGCTGATAATTTTATTTTATTTCTAAATTGAAATAAAAACAAAACGTGTAAGAGAAAATACTTTTCTTACTTCGGGATTTAAAATAACATTTTTTGAAAAAATATCAACTCCAACTTCCATTGTATCGAGATTGATAGTCCTTCCTAAAAGAAGAGGTAGAATATATGGCAGCATTTGCGCCATATTGGCTCTCTGAATCTATAACAGAAAACTACTTTATTTTCATTATTTATTTTCAAAATTATTTTTGATAGAAAAAGAATATTAATAATATTTTCTAACTTCGACAGTAATATCTACTTGCAGAAAATTGATTAAATAGAGGCCTGTCGGTTTGCCATCAAACACAGTTACAAATTTTGGCAAAGTATTGAGCAATAATTCAGTGAAACCTGTTAATTTATCCACTCTTATAAGTTGACCACCTGTATAAGTTTTTCTCAAGTAACAAGAATCAAATTTATTGCATACAATGAAAGAGAGTCAAAATTTTTTGTTAACTTGATTACTTATCTATCTTGCATGCCGACTGCTAAAGTAGGTAAAATTTGGCAAAAGTTTTTACAACATATACAAATTGTCTGACCTCCCCCTATGTTATTATGTTATCTATTAAATGTCATTGAAGATGAAATGATATTAATAAACTGAGCTAAAACCATTCGTGAGTTGAACATGACATGGTCTTAGAATCAAATATGTTTGTAAGTTTAACAAATTGAGTTTTAAAATGATGAAATGAAAATAATTTTTTTCTGATTGCATATATTTTCTCATATATTGTCATTTTAAGATATTATTCATAATATATAACTGGCATGGGTTACTAACAATGAAATATGATTTTTTGGATAAATAGAAATTTGCAACCAATTATAGTTTATTCTGTAGTTATTCCTATTTATCACCTAGGATAATATTAAATGAAATTTTAAAGTCATGTTTAAAAGAAAATTTCCTTTATCCTTACTTTGATGAGTAGCATATAATGTAATATAAATAAAAATGTGAGAATTTGAATACAAGCAAAACGAAATCTAAAGATAAACATGCTAGTAAAAACAGCGCTTCGCTTTGTTACTACACCGCGGGCCAACATGATGGAGTCTCTCTGTTGTCGGCGGTAATACCAAAAATCGACAGTGCCCCGAACATAGGCCGCAGGCAGCGGGATGCACTTGCACCCCCTTGGCTTTCTCTTTAAACAATTAAAGAGATACAGAAAAACAATTTTGTTATAAATTTTTTTTATTAAAAATATTTTCATTCAAAAACAAATAATTAAGTAATTATTGATGATTTTTTAATCAAACAAGAATTGTAATCGTCTTGTTTGCTGTCCAAATCTGTTTATAACTTTTTCAATGAATTCTAAGTCATCTTTGATTATTTTCTTANCTAATTTCAAACAAGTATCATTCCTTAGATAGTTTGAGAAAAACAATTACTAAGACGCCACTAACTAATAAATTAATACTATGAATTCCTTTTCTATTAGTTATTTAGTTTAACAAAGGTGTATAACACACACTGACTTCTCACAGCTGTAAAATTTCATCAACACAATAAATACCAATTTTAAGCGTGCACAAGCACATTAGTATACGAAACTACTGTTTGAGTTTCAAAGTTAGTAGCTATGCCAGAGCCATCAATACAGTTTCTCGTGGCAAAATTTGCAAGTACAAGAAATTCATACTTTTTTTTTAAAATATCTTGTTAACAATGAATAAATGCATGTTGAAAAAATTACCAGATGAAAGTATATATGTAATAACAAAACAAAATGTAATAACAGAATATTAAATTTTTTTTGGAGGGGGGGTAGTTTGTTAGAGGGTTGCACTCCCTTTTATATTATTCTGCCGGCGCCCTTGGACCCGAGGCCTCATAATGGAAAATAAAATAAGACAATAATGCAATACCTCAAACATTCAAAGATCGAAATTCTATTCTCATTATATTAACAATAACAATATAAATAAAAATGAAATATATACCATTACATTCTCACATTTTTAGTTATATTTCTTTATTAAGACAATTATGGTTTTAGCTGCCTTTTCGTGCTTATCGATTTTGACTTATTATTTTTAAATTTAATCTTGTTCTTAATTTTTGCTTAATTCCATTTTCATACGGTGATTGGATAGCATATAATATATATTAATAACACGAACAATCTAATATAAGAGGTGAAGAAAAATCTGTGACATATCCTTCTCTTTAAGTTGACCACCTATCTAAGTTGACCAATAAAGCAATAAGTAGTAGTGGTAAACTTACACAGGTTTCACGACTTAGAACAAATTTGCTTCAATCTTACTATGGATTTTAAGTTGAACCCCATTTTTGTACTGCTTAAACTTGTTTACAAGATAATATGGTTCAATTTGTAGTAAAAGTGGTTTAATGTAACACCTTATTAAGAGGATAAGAAGCTTACAACGTATACTGGTTCAAGGTATGAGTCAACGTTGAGCCAATATTTTTGTCACAGTATAATATTACCGGATAAAGAGCCTGTTAAGCATATAAACATTTCTATCTTTTAACTAATAAGACAGGTGATAAAATCAAATTAATAATAATAACAATCGTAATAATTATAATGAAAATGATAATAACAATCGTAATAATTATAATAAAAATAATAATAACAATCGTTATAATTATAATAATAATAATAAATATTGTTATTATTATTTATATCAAAGTAAAACATTAAATGTTGATTAATATATTTACATAATTTTATTAATATATTTACATCATTTGTATTTTTTCCTCAATAAACAGTTTCTTTTAAAAAAAAAATTACTAGATCATGATTGTTGCATAAACAAATGCTGTTTATTGAGATTAATGCCTTAAATTTAAAATATTAAAAAAATATTAAATTAAATAAAGTATGTTGTTATAGATAATAAATTTATTATGCTAAAAAATTCGGATAAGTAATTTGATAAGAAATAATGGTAATAATGATATGATAATAATGAGTAACAATGATTTTGATATTTGCATAGCATAATTATGATATTTACCTTCTCGTGGTTTGGATCGAATTTTTTTATCCTTCTTAATGTAGTTGAAAGTTGAACTGTTGTAATCGATCTGATAAAACTAATGCTAGCGTCTTTTAAGTGTAACCACTCGCATATGTCAATTTCTCACATTTTAGGAAAGGAAAAGATACATATATGTCTACATATCTTTCTGAAAAAGGAAATGTAATGTAAAATAAATTCTCAACTTTTATTAGACTTTTTTAAATAAAAGTAATAGTTATTTTTAAAATAGCGATTTAAAAAAAATGAATGATGAATGATCTGTTCATCTTCACACATTATTATTTTAGGCTTGTTAAGTTACTCAAGAGAGTATTTTTTTTGTTTTAAGTAAAGCAAAATCAAGTTTTAATAGAATAGTTATCCGTTTTAAACAATATATATTACGATGTAATGCTATTTTAAACTGCACTGCTTTGAGGAAAATAATGTATTTAAATATAGAATAAAATAATATAGAATGAAATAATATAGAATGAAATAATATAGAATAAAATAATATAGAATAAAATAATATAGAATAAAATAATATAGAATAAAATAATATAGAATAAATATATAGTCAAATAATATACTTTATAAGNAAATAATACAGAATAAAATAATATAGAATAAAATACTATAGAATAAAATAATATAGAATAAAATAATATAGAATAAATATATAGACAAATAATATACTTTATAAGTCAAAAATCAATTTTTAATCCAACTAGAAAGCTTCGCCTTCCGCTTTCACAATTAACCAACCCCGGTGGTAGTTTCTCATTTATCATTTTTTTATAAAGTTGATATTTCCAAAAAAAGCAACGTTATTCGTTAATAAAATAAATAATTATTATTGTTATCTTATGTTATCTTAATTTGCTAATATGTTAATCGTAAAGAAATGAACGATTATCTGCATTTGAAAAATAATCAACGATACTTTAAAAAAAACCCTTAGGGAAACAGTATTTATGACACAATAAGAAAAAATAAAATAAAAGTAATTTTCCCCGTTAACAATGTTATAACGATAACCTTATACCATTAGATTAATTTAAATAAGAAGCGTCTTTTATCTCTTTAGAACTCTTGAATTACGTTTTTTTATATTTCTTAAAAATTCAATAAAAATGTGGAGAATTTATATCTGGCAACATTTAATCTATTTCTCTCTCTTATTTTTTTTTGTTATTGAAAATAGCACAAACGTAAGCTAATAAAATGAAAATCTTGTGAGACATTAATACATTTTCCTTCAACAATGGATAGATAGTCATTGTCTAAAGCAAAATAAGTGAGAAAAAAATTCGCAAAAAGTCACTCAGCAGTTCAATAGCTTTCGAATAAACTGAAATTAAAAAAAAAAACTCAAGTTAAGATCATAAATTAAAACATCCCTTTCTGATTATTGGAAGATTAGATGCATCCCAGCAGGCTTCAGAGCGTCCCGCAGGGTATTTTTTACTACAAATTTAGCACCTTTTAGTTCTTGAACTCATTTTAAATTTCTTTTAGCTATTTCGATTACATCGTACTATCTGCATATTGTTTACACTCCTTCAAAATTTTCAGCGTTTTCTCATTTATAGCGTTTGCAGCAAATCAGCGTAAAGTTACATATTCGAAACAATGACGGTGTCGCTAACAATTTTTTTTTATACCGAGTGAAACAACAGTGGTTTCCATAATGGTTTCAGTTTTAAAATGTAGTCTCTTATATTTTACTATTTTTCTTTAAGCAGGACAAGACCATTCAGAATGCACCCAGTATTAAAAACAAATAGTAATTATAATGAGAAACATTTTAAAAACTTAGAAGATAAGTAGCGTATTTTTGTAAAATGTATATAGAAATTTCTCGTCTGGTCTTGGAGCTAAATTGTGAAACTTTTTTGAAATTCCATTTTTTTTCGTTGAAAATAATGGGTTATAGAATAAATCGTATTTGGCATAAATCTTTATTTTATAAATCTTTAGACTGGCAGCAAACAATTTTTCCTTTCCCAAACCCGTTTGCAGTGCAGAAAATTGAATAAAGTAGTTTTTTTCCATTCTTAAGTATTTTCCTGCGAGAAATTTTATGTTCATGCTCAATTTTTATTGAGAGCACAATGAATGAGTTAAATAATTTATATTGAAATGAGAATGTTCATTTTATTTTTCTAGAAACATAATTCTCTTCTGCTTCTGCTGAAGTTTTGTTTGCGATTCGGTAAATGAAGGAACGTAATATGTTATTTATCTTCAGTCTCTTAGATTTCTCATTAAATTGCGCTTTAATAGTCTATTCACATGCACGATAAATAAATATATGTTTCAATTTTTTTTTAAAGAAAAATTTACGCAAACATTTTCTCTCTCTTATGCTTACTTTCTCTTTTATGCTTATTTCTAGAAGCTTGAATTTTTTCACAACAAATAATTAAGTCGAATTACTACTTTTTTGTAATACCGTACAAATTAAGTCCTTTATTAAAAGAAATTGTTTTTTTTTCATTTCAATAATATACTTTTCTCTTTTAAGCTGAAAAAATTTCGAAGAGAATATTAATTTTTAATATGCGTAAAAANAAATGAAACTAACTTTGAATGACTAAAATAATCGACTGCTTTCTTTGACTGAAGAATTTTTACTGAATATTACATATTCTGGATACAAACATGCATATTATCACCCTAAAAAAATATAATCAGGTTGTTACCTTTTTTTTCATTTATTTGCTTACTGTGATTGACCACTGGAATAGTTTTAGAAGTTTATTATTTAAGTATTTTTTCTCGTTACAACCCTACTTTCAGTTTCTGGGTAACAGTCAAAAATGTAGCAGACTAATCATTCGAGAAATATTATTTTTTTAAATTAAATTATAGTAACTTCATTTTAAATATATTTATTTATTTATTTATTTAATTTTTGTTAGGTTATTTTTGAAGGGATGTGATTGTAAAAATTAACTTTCTCTTCAATATATATTGCTGTACTGAATGAGTGTAAACATCCAACACATTAAATCGAAGGAACAAAAATAGTTACGTTAAGTTTATGGAAGCATTGGTGAAGAAAATAAATCGTTCCAATTTAAAGTTTCTCATTTTCAGAAACTTCCAGATGAATCGTTAAACTCGTTTTTATTGAGAGTCGTAAAAAACAAGTTTTCTTGAATACTAGCTGGAATTCCATTGGGGATATTTGCAAAACAAGGAGGCCTTTCAAGACGAGAATGATCACATAAAAGAGAGATCATGTGCTACACATGCTAGAGATCAACCTTCTTTTTATGTCAGTCTGCTATACATTGCATAGATATTTTGAAGGTAGATGTATCCCTCAAAAATATACCGCGTTTAGAACATGTTATCTGGAAGCAGTATTGTTTGTGATAAAAGTGTTGCTTTGAATTGTTTAAATTTTTAGATTCAGAACTTAAAGAATTCTCAATAGATTGTTTGCTTTAGATACTTTTTTACTAAGATTTATTATTTTCTATTTCATGCTAATCAATGAAAAATAATATAAATAATACGAATGAACAAAAAAAAAATAACAACGAGAAAATGATAAAAACGATAAAGAATAACCAAAAGAAGTTAATATGAGGTAGTTGTGAATAGATTTTAATCTATAAAAAACTTTTTTTAAACTTAAGCTTTAAAAACCTATTAGTTTTGTATAGAAAAGTAATAATGTTTATGTGTTGAAAATTAAAATTAACCCCCTTAACTTGTACGCTCGAGTTAATTCGAGCGCGCTCAACAGGCCAAACTGTGCACACAAGAGACAATTCGAGCGGCGTTGTATTTTATGCTGCTATAATTTTTCACACTCGAATGTAATCGAGAATTGAAAATAACAATGTGAAAGCTAAGAAAATAAAATCGCTTTATTGATATTTATCATTTACATGGGATTGTAAGCTATAACACTTATTTATTCGAGAAAAAAATATAGCCTTTTTCCTTGGAACAAAAACGCAGTATATCAAAATTGTCCACCAAAGGAAAAGTTGAACCAGGAGCGGCAACAAATAGCAACAATGTTCGAAAGTGTGTCTTTTTACATAAAAAAAATTGATTTCTTTGGCCGGTTTTTTTTCTTCAAAAAATCTGTGCGTTATGGGGTTAATATAATGTGCACGTTAATAGGTTTACAAGAGGTTGGGTTTAATACAGGTTAAATAACAAGTATAAATTTTTTTCTCTTTTATCTTAAAAATTACAAATACATTTGAAAATTGCCGGAATTCGATTACCGTTTTGGTTAAAAACTTGTTGTCTATCAACATCTGCTGCATCGTTAGTGGAGAAGGGAAAATTGAAAACAATCATGTAAAAAAATATTTGTTTAAAATGGTTTCCTTTTGACTCTTTTCTAGCTTCTCTGTTAATCACACAAGTCTTAATGTCTCCTTTTCCCTACATTCTCGCTAGCGATTCATTAGATTACGATGAAGTTCCTGCCTTTTTCTCGCTTAAATATTAATTTGACGCTTATAATGTGTATACGTTTTGTACTTTGTTGTTGACTATATATATAAGTAAATTTACTAAATATATAAGTAAATTTACTATATAAGTAAATAAATTCAATAAATTATAAATAAATGAGTATTTACCTCACATAAGCGAGCTCCACTTCCAGACTGCCAGTTGTATGATCTGCAATTTAATACCCATTTTTTCTTTTTTTCNTTACTAAATATATAAGTAAATTTACTATATATATATATAAGTAAATAAATTCAATAAATTTTAAATAAATGAGTATTTACCTCACATAAGCGAGCTCCACTTCCAGACTGCCAGTTGTATGATCTGCAATTTAATACCCATTTTTTCTTTTTTTTCGACATCTTATGGAAATTTTAACAATAGAAAGCCTTTTTTTAAAAACTGTTTGGCCAATTCATCACTGTACGATTGCACATATCAATAATTTTAAGTATCTGAATGGGCTTCAAACTTTTCACTTTAATGTTAACATTATGTAACTAGCGAATTTGTTTGCTCCAAAATGGCGGACAGTTCAGTTCACACTATAGAGAAGCCTTAGATGAAAGAAGAAGGATTTTCGTTTCTCTCCAGACGCTAGTGCTTTCCACCGTAAAATATTTCCTTTATTATTCAGTTGAGATCTATTGGGGAGCGTAAATAATTTTGCCCAGTAATCATTTTTCAAAATAACATTTAAAAATAAAAGGAATATATTGTTATAACAGATTTGGTGAGTTCACAGCAGTAATTTAATATTTTCGCTTACTAAATCATGCGTCACATTATGCATGAAGGTGGTCGTGTTGAAGTGTGTTGTAATGATTTAGAACAAAACAGTCACCTTAACTTTCAAAACTAAATTTTATTTTATCAGTTTTTTTAAATTCTATTTTAGCGTTCATAGCATTAGCAATAGAGGGACAATAGTTGTTAACCCACTTTTCATGGAATCAACCGCGAAGCACTTACGTTGTTTTTTTCAATTGCATGGCAGTACTATTAATTGGGAGAAATAATAATTTTTTTAAAATACAAAATTACTCTGCCCTGAAACTCTAAAAAGTTTGTGGTTAGTGACAGTGGAATTGCTCTGAAAGAAAAATTCTAAAATATATAATTACCAAATTAGTTTTGAGAAATAAACAAGACAAGTAAATAAAAGTTCAGCTTTCGCAACAGCAACAGATGATTTTACACAAGAACATATTTCATTATTATGGAAGCTGAGATGATTTTGTAAAATATTTTTCACCGTCATATTTTTCATTTTACTTATTGAAAGAAATAATTGACTTAGTCACTTAATATATTTAAACAATTATTTTAACCAGTTCAATCTTGACTCACATAAATAATGCTCTTAAGCAAGGCATTACACTGTTCTCTAACCAACAATATAATAAAAATCACATAGTCGTGAACAGAAAAAACAATATCCTTGTGAAAGTTCCAACAACAATAGCCTGTTTATCACGCGAAAATTTTCTTTGTACATATTATTCTCGGCTGCAGTTATAATTAGCCAACTTTACAACAACACTATTTTAAATGCCTTGATTTTACCTTTTCTAACAACTGTTTGGTAATAACTTTTACCAACTTCCATAAATTACCGTGATGTGAGTCCAAACTTTTATGCAGATAAATCTCCTCAAGGCTTTTGATGATGGAACGATACCTTAATTGTTCCTTTGGCGCCCATAAAATAAATTCCTCATCAAACTCCAAGTAGTTGTTGAGAAAAATAGGTTGTTACATTTATGGCAATTGCGTTTCTGATTTCTTTCAAAAGGGTATCTAAAAATAGAAGCTTTACCATTAACATGTCTACACGGAATACTATAAAGTTTTCCTGATCCCTACTATTTCCCTAAAAGACTTATCTTTATTGGCGACATTTTCCAAACAATGGCCAGAGTCTGGCATTTTTCTATTCAAGGTTTCTTTTTTTTCTCCCTGCACCAAATAAGCAATCTATTAAGAAATTTATTTTGTTAGTGGGCTAACATAAGAGGCATTATATATAATTTTTTTCAGCTTTATTTATTGTTCTTTATCATTCCTTACCTGAACATAAAGGACATAGAAATTTTTATACTTTCTTGAATAACTATTTTAGTAAAAGAAAGCATAATAATGCTTTTATTTGACAATAGTATATGTTTGATAGTAAGTATTTATTTCAATAATATTAAATATTCTACAGCGCAATACTGAGAATTCTAAAATAGATTGATTACTTGTGATAATCCAAGAAAAAGAAACCTTCTTTAATAATATTTTTAATAATTTTATTTAAGTGGTTATGTTTAGCTAGGTAAGTATTAGGGCCACAAGTGACTGTTTTAAATTTAATAGGAATGACATGAAATTTTGGACTGATAATTAAGTATGGAAATTGTATATTACTAAATTTTATTAATATTTAAANTTGGAATTAATTTGATCATGTTTAAATGTTAAAACTCATTAATAGAATATTGAATGGGAACCGTATAATTCATATCGCGCATAGATGTAGGAGTTAGATAAGTGTGGGAACCTTACAAGTGTTAAAGATTAAAATACTGAAACTTTTTATAAACTTTTTTCTTAATGCTTTGAAGAAACCGCTGCTCTATTTTCTTTTAGTATAATTTGTTTTGGGTCGACATGGATTTTAAATAATATTTTTTAATTTATTATTTTATTGAATTATAGGAATCGTGTGATGAATTTTTAAAAAGGTATTTCAATTAAGTGTCTTTTAATAATGCATATTAAAATCATTCTGACAGTTTTTGTGACTCAATGTCTCACAATAATTATAAACGGAGCTTCAATCCATAGTATTCCGTAAGTATTATATTAATTCTATTAATAGTATACTTTAATTGCGAGGATATGGATGTGAAACCGTAAGAACGTATAGTGTAATAATATTTTAAAACTTTAAAAAATAAATAAAATATATATCAAGAAAATATAAAAATGAACAAAAAACTAATGTTTATAAAAATATATAAATGCATGAACATATTAAATAAATTTTTTTAAAACATGTATAGAATAAATGAGTAGAAAAATATTTTGCAGGAATTTAAAGTATAATATTTTTATAAATATTATTCATTTCTGACATTATATTATCAAGGCTGATAAAAAATATTGAAAATATAATATTTTATTAAAAAATAAAATATATGTTATAGTTGGCACAATGAAAGATTATTTTACAGATTTTAAAAAAAAATAGTACATACAATTTGAAGTGCTTCTCATTTAACTGAAATTAGGATACAGTTTCAACAACAGATGGCGTTAGTTGTAATAGAAAAAAAAGAAATTTAAGACAGATGATAAAACTATTTTCATTCTCTTGTAGAACAATAATTTCTTTTTTCAAGTGTTGTACTATTTTTTCAACATCTATGTGACATTTTATAAAAGCTTCACCTATTTTTTTAAAATAATTTTTAAAATAATAAATTAAATTTTTTTTAAAATAATAAATTTTTTTTATGGTAAATTTATAAAATTAATCATTTTAGTGTTTTTAAGGTTTTCTTTCTTTTTGTGACGAGTACATATTTTAAGTATTATAAAATTTTAAAAAAATTAGCAATATCACCTTTTTAATAGTTAATTTAACTTTGACATGAGATCTATATTTTTAATATTTCATGATTTTTATTTAAAAAGTGGAATGAATGTAGGGAAACGTGACTTTATATAATGGCACAACTCTTGAATCTATTAGTAACTCATAGTATTTATTTACTTTTTTACAAGAATTTTATCATAGCATAGATCTCGTTTAGGTAACTCTTGGGTTAGGTAATAAATAGCGTGAAAAGGATTCGCGTGAAAAGGATTTAATCCTTCTGCTAATATTTACATTGCAATTGTTTGTCCATAAAAATTAATCTTTTCAAAATTCAAAACTAAGTTGAATTTCTTTTTGATGGAATTAAAATAAAATTATGTAGGATCATTTAGTTTTAAACAATGGCGACGATGTGTTCTTAAATAGTTTGGATCTAACATTTCAAATTATTATAATTTTGGCATTTATTCATCTTTTTTAATCTAAGTTTCGAATATTTTTTCTTTGAAAACGAAAAATTATTGCTACTAAGGATGGTTCCTGAATGAGTGGGGTAATACTTAATCCTATTGTTGATTTGAGAAAATGTTAATTTAGGAAATACGTGGTAATAAAACCAGATGATTTGACTTATGATTGCTTTGATTCAAATAAATGTGATTTGATTTGTAAAATACTTGATATACTTAAAAATAATTGGGAGATAAATATTTGAATATTTGCGAATTTCAGTAAATGGTAAAATTAACCGAAATAATGGGTTAGTAATGAAAATAACTTTTTTTTATTTGAATATTGAATTTTACTTTCAAAATTGCGGAAACAATAAAATTTTACATTTGAATTTACTTAAATTTATTAATAGATGTAATTATTGTAATATGAATCGAATTGTTTAATTTTCACACTTTTTTCGTAGGATATTCTAGACTCAATGTTATTTGTAATTTAAACACCATTCTTGTTAATTTGTTAATTTGGATTATACTTCAGTTTTAAATCGATGAATAATTATTTTTAATAATAAAGGAAGAAACTATGCGACTTAACGCCGGTGCTGGTATTTACTGTGAACTTGCTTTATATATATANATAGTCTATTTTAATAAGTTCTTCTTCCATTCTTCTTACAAGAACAGCATTGGGTATTAATCGTTACGGTCTTTATTATTGCTTTAACTGCTACTTTAAACAATTTTTATTCATCATTTTTATAGCTAGTAATAGTCTATTTTAATAAGTTCTTCTTCCATTCTTCTTACAAGAACAGCATTGGGTATTAATCGTTACGGTCTTTATTATTGCTTTAACTGCTACTTTAAACAATTTTTATTCATCATTTTTATAGCTAGTAATAGTCTATTTTAATAAGTTCTTCTTCCATTCTTCTTACAAGAACAGCATTGGGTATTAATCGTTACGGTCTTTATTATTGCTTTAACTGCTACTTTAAACAATTTTTATTCATCATTTTTATAGCTAGTAATAGTCTATTTTAATAAGTTCTTCTTCCATTCTTCTTACAAGAACAGCATTGGGTATTAATCGTTACGGTCTTTATTATTGCTTTAACTGCTACTTTAAACAATTTTTATTCATCATTTTTATAGCTAGTAATAGTCTATTTTAATAAGTTCTTCTTCCATTCTTCTTACAAGAACAGCATTGGGTATTAATCGTTACGGTCTTTATTATTGCTTTAACTGCTACTTTAAACAATTTTTATTCATCATTTTTATAGCTAGTAATAGTCTATTTTAATAAGTTCTTCTTCCATTCTTCTTACAAGAACAGCATTGGGTATTAATCGTTACGGTCTTTATTATTGCTTTAACTGCTACTTTAAACAATTTTTATTCATCATTTTTATAGCTAGTAATAGTCTATTTTAATAAGTTCTTCTTCCATTCTTCTTACAAGAACAGCATTGGGTATTAATCGTTACGGTCTTTATTATTGCTTTAACTGCTACTTTAAACAATTTTTATTCATCATTTTTATAGCTAGTAATAGTCTATTTTAATAAGTTCTTCTTCCATTCTTCTTACAAGAACAGCATTGGGTATTAATCGTTACGGTCTTTATTATTGCTTTAACTGCTACTTTAAACAATTTTTATTCATCATTTTTATAGCTAGTAATAGTCTATTTTAATAAGTTCTTCTTCCATTCTTCTTACAAGAACAGCATTGGGTATTAATCGTTACGGTCTTTATTATTGCTTTAACTGCTACTTTAAACAATTTTTATTCATCATTTTTATAGCTAGTAATAGTCTATTTTAATAAGTTCTTCTTCCATTCTTCTTACAAGAACAGCATTGGGTATTAATCGTTACGGTCTTTATTATTGCTTTAACTGCTACTTTAAACAATTTTTATTCATCATTTTTATAGCTAGTAATAGTCTATTTTAATAAGTTCTTCTTCCATTCTTCTTACAAGAACAGCATTGGGTATTAATCGTTACGGTCTTTATTATTGCTTTAACTGCTACTTTAAACAATTTTTATTCATCATTTTTATAGCTAGTAATAGTCTATTTTAATAAGTTCTTCTTCCATTCTTCTTACAAGAACAGCATTGGGTATTAATCGTTACGGTCTTTATTATTGCTTTAACTGCTACTTTAAACAATTTTTATTCATCATTTTTATAGCTAGTAATAGTCTATTTTAATAAGTTCTTCTTCCATTCTTCTTACAAGAACAGCATTGGGTATTAATCGTTACGGTCTTTATTATTGCTTTAACTGCTACTTTAAACAATTTTTATTCATCATTTTTATAGCTAGTAATAGTCTATTTTAATAAGTTCTTCTTCCATTCTTCTTACAAGAACAGCATTGGGTATTAATCGTTACGGTCTTTATTATTGCTTTAACTGCTACTTTAAACAATTTTTATTCATCATTTTTATAGCTAGTAATAGTCTATTTTAATAAGTTCTTCTTCCATTCTTCTTACAAGAACAGCATTGGGTATTAATCGTTACGGTCTTTATTATTGCTTTAACTGCTACTTTAAACAATTTTTATTCATCATTTTTATAGCTAGTAATAGTCTATTTTAATAAGTTCTTCTTCCATTCTTCTTACAAGAACAGCATTGGGTATTAATCGTTACGGTCTTTATTATTGCTTCAACTGCTACTTTAAAAAATTTTTATTCATCATTTTTATAGCTAGTAATAGTCTATTTTAATAAGCTCTTCTACCATTCTTCTTACAAGAGCAGCATTGGGGATTAATCGTTACGGTCTTTATTATTGCTTTAATTGCTACTTTATACAATTTTTATTCATCATTTTTATAGCTAGTAATAGTCTATTTTAATAAGTTATTCTTCCATTCTTCTTACAAGAACAACATTGGGGATTAATCGTTACGGTCTTTATTATTGCTTGAATTGCTACTTTAGACTATTTTTATTCATCATTTTCATAGCTAGTAATAGTCTATTTTAATAAGCTCTTCTTCCATTCTTCTTACAAGAACAGCATTGGGGATTATTCGTTACGGTCTTTATTGCTTTAATTGCTACTTTAGGCAATTTTTATTAATCATTTTTATGACTAATAATAGTCTCTTTTAATAAGCTCTACTTCCATTAATGAATAATGAGCTTTTAAGGCTAGATTGGACAGGTCAACATTATAAGGGACTCAAGCGGTTCTTCGAAAAATTTAATACTGGTTAAGCTATTCAGGAATTCATGTTAAAGCTAGATGGAATTGCCTTTTTTAAGCTTTTAAATTGCCTTTAACTTTTACTATAGTTCTAGTTCTAATCACCTCAGTTCTAGTACCCAACAGTTCTAGAACAGTTATATTTTGTTTTAAATATATTGTATAGATGTTGTAATAAAATCATTAAATGATCAAAGTGTGTTTTTATTCGTTACCGCGATAAGATTGTTCTAAGACAGCACCCCTGTAACGTTATCTGTAATAAAAATTTTGGTTAATTTTCAACGTATCTCTATTTAATAAATTAGACAAATTTTTAAAGTTTTACTGCTTACAATTTTTTTCGTTGCATTTATTACATTCGATTTAATTTTATATAGTGGCAAATTTTATAAAAACTGCTGAAACTTATATAGGAATTCTGTTAATGCAAAAATGCTGAGACCATTATTAATTAATTATCAACATTTAAAAAGAAATTATAATCAAAACTCATAAAAAGAAATGACAGTATTCCTATTTTTGAAGAATTAAAATCAAATAAAACAAAATCAATTAAATGTATTTTATGATAGAATTTATAAAATAAAAATTCGAAAATCGTTGCCTGAAATCAAGTGGAAATGTATTATAACATACAAAACTTGATTAATTCAATAAACATTGCAGTATATGAGTTTTTATTGGAAGAGAAAAATTTCATTGTTTAACAACTGATTGCACTTTTAGGCATCGTGGTTCAAAATACAATATAAAAAGAGTTCTTGAATAATTTAAAAGTGTGCATTTAAAGTCAAGAATTGTAACCTATGATTTTGAATAGGTTTAATTCATGACAATGCTTTTTTTTTCGGATACTGAACATAGTTAGCATTAATTTTATGAAGAAACCATTATAACCATTGAGAACTTTCAAATATTATATTTTCGCGATTTTGTTTTAGAAAATCAGCTGTAAAGGAGACGCATAATGTAAAGGAAAAAGAAGGAGCCGTTGCAGGTCGTCTTGTTTCCATTCCGGCCAAAGCGTATCGACAAGGTTTCAAAGACACCATTTCCTTAGGCCAATGCTCTTTAGTTAAAGATGAAAATGGAGACATCATAACATGGTAACGCTTATTTAGATTTTTGTTGTTGCTTGCAGTAAACATAAGTTTGAGTCAAGGCTGGTGTCCATACTAGAAATTTTAGTTAGCTTCATTGGAAGAAAAACAAACAAAGGTAAAAAACGATAGCAAATTTAGAAATAATGGACGATAAAGCTAATTAGTTTTTACATATTTTGACAAAGCAGGATTTCAAACACATCCAGGTATCCGCTATTATGAGCCTCTTACTCTGTTTTATGAATTACGTTTATTTGGAATTATGTTTAATGAAATTCTCAACATACCGGTTGCCTTAAAAGTAGCTCAGAATTTGCATTCAAAATCAAAATAGTAACAGTAGCAGAACATGATATCAGGGAAGAAAAAATAATAATTATTATGAGTAAATGCTGTTAAATAATAAATAAAGAAATTTTATTAGTAGCGGCCTTTAAAACTTTCACTGATTTTATACCAATTACAGCAAAAAAATCTGGATATTTATTGATTATTTATTAATGACCATGTCATTAGATTTTTTTCCAAATTAGAATGCATGAGACAATATGGCGTTAATAATTTTTATGATGTATTGAGAAATCCAAACAATTAAGAATTTCAACAATTCATAGTTTTTATAAGAATTATATGGCATCGCAGAAAAAATGATTTTTTTTAAAACAAAAGCTTTTTTTCCTACATGGTTTAATATTTCTAATTTTACCAAGTTTCTCGAATCAATGATTTTTAATTAAAAAAAGTTGGCAATATTTGTTAAGTGTTTACTTTTCTTTAATAAAGTAATTACGTTTTTTTCCACTTAGCTCAAGTAATTTGAAAAAAAAAAAAAACTTTAATCTTAAAAGTCAAGATGATTCAAAAGAAAATTATAGAGAAGCCTTATTAATCAAGACTACGAGACAAATTCACAAAAAATAATTTTTAATCGATTCTATTAGAATGTTTTAGAAGTTGTATACGAGGTGATGAATTTATTTTGTTTTTGCTGTGTGTTGTAGGTATTCTTTCTAAAATTCGAAATTCTAATTTTAGAATTGTTGACTGATTAGTGAAAGGTTTAATCACGATAGCTTACTTTGTAGTTGAAAGTAATAAATAATATATTTTTTGACAAATATTTAATTCCTTTGTAATTTTGTAGGACAGCCTAAACAAAATAAAAGTAAACTATTAAAATGCATTCAGTTAATTAGCAGTATAAAACAACTCAATCAAAATTACTAAACGTATATAATTTTACTGATTCAAATTTTTGAGGAAAACCGCAGTAGAGTTTTTGTTGTGAAAATATATAAAGTAGTAATCTTTAATTAGATAATCTTTTGACAGACAAAGAACTGTGGAATGATATTCTATCATCGAAATTTTTTTCAGAACCAAAGCATCAAGAAAATGAAAAACACATTTTTTTTATCTAAATTCAAAGATCTATATTGCGAGGGGAGATGGTTTTTTGCAGCTCATAATTAGTGTATTAATTAATTTCATTAATTGGATAAACTTCAGAAAGCCATTGTACTGTGGAATGATATTCTATCACCAAAAGTCTTTACCAAAACCAAAGGCATCAAGAAATTGAAAAACAGATTTTTATCCTGAAATTTAAGAAGTCTATTGCGAGGGGAGATGGCTCTTTGCAACTCGTAATTAATGTGTTAATTAATTTCATTAATTGAATAAACTTCTGAAAGCCATTGTGCTGTGGAATGGCATTCTATAATCAAAAGTGTTTTTCAAAACCAAATACATCAAAGAAATTAAAAACAAATTTTTAACTTGAAATCCAAAATATATATGGTGAGGCCAGATGGTCCTTTGCAACTTATGCTCAAAATTACTCACATCAAAGTTGAACAATTTGCAAAAGTACTAGTTTCCAAATTTGAAGCATCACAGAGATTTATTAAAAGGTCGATCTTTATTTTTACCACACAAACTTTAGTAGTAATAATTAATTATAATGCAATTCGTTATTCATGTTGACAAAGGTTAGATTTTTCCAGATCTTTGTGTGGGGGGGGGGCGGAGTTATCGACAATGCCAGCCTTCATCTATCAAAAGGTACTTCAAGATTGAATCAAGTTAGCATGTCTTATATACTAGTGAATTGATGTTTAATAACCGTAGTGGTAGTTACGCCACAATACTCCCCCACCAGAATTTTATCAGGGATGGAATTCAATGAACGGATACCACTAGTTGCTGTACTTATGAAAGACCGGGAGAACTGGATTAAGGTTATCGGGTTTTTTTGAGTGCTGAATGTGAGAGGTGTATTAATTTCACGGTCGTAGCCACTCATGGGTTGCCATTAGCAGTCAAATGTATGCACCAATGTGGGGAGCGGAGTTATCGACAATGCCAACCTTCATCTATCAAAAGGTACCTCATGATTGATTCAAGTTAGCATGTCTTATATACTAGTGAACTGATGTTTAATAATAGTAGTGGTAGTTACGCCACATCTTCAAAATAATGGTTTTTGGCAGAAGTCAAGGGGGCTTTATGTAACTAGGACACACTGCACCAGAAATTTTATGCATTTTTTACTGAATTAATGAGTGTTAAAATTTGTATGACTTTAAACTCTTATGTATAACGTGTTTATCTTCACTTTAATATTTTTTGTTCGAAATTTTCTTAATTCTTAGCTCAGCTGAGTTTACCGGTACTAAAATATTTCTACCCAAAGCTTCCATGACGGTAGACGTGAGCAGAGTAGAGAGTTCAGAAGATATTCTACTCCATGTCATGGGTGGATTTGGAACGAGCGTTGGTGTTTTAGGACTCGTTAGCGTTAGTCCAAAAGTAAGTATACTTAAAATGTTGTATATTTTGAAAATCAAAACTATTTGAAGTAATTGTTTTTAAATGAAAATTGCTTAGTTGTACTTTAAAAGCTAAAATAGAGTCTCGGTGCTGCCATCTTGTGTGGCAGAAACTAGACGTCCAAATTAACATGATCAACGGTATTATCACCCATTGTGGTGATCCTGAAAGAGTGGATACCACCTCTGGAGAACGCACTAGGTTTGCTCATCCACAAGTCTGAATGTGCAGCTAATTGGAAATAAAAAAAAAACTTTAATAGCTATCAATAGACAAATGGAATTGTTTCAATACTTTTGATTCATGTTAAAAAGCATGCAGTTTTAAATTTTTATGAGGTTTTGAAAAAAATTTAACACAATTTTGCTAGCGTAAAATATGTTCAAATTATTTTGAATTGTTTTAAACAACATCTGAATTCTTGATTAAGCAGACAAGCTATTAAGAAAGGAATCCTTATGCAAACTTATAAAAAGGGTACTTAACAATTAGTCAGTGAGTAAGACTCTTTTTTGTATGTCGCTCTGGTTTTGAAATATTTGAGCTATATTATCTTTATGGCATTAAGGTTAACAAAGTAAAACGCAATTTTAAGTTTTACACTTGCAACTTTTTTTAAAAGATGGAAATGTAATAAAATATTCATCACTATGAAAATCACTAGAGCTCTAAAATTAATAAGAAAAAAAAAACTAATTTTTTAAAGCATAATTTAATGTCATAATGTTATAAGAGAGATATGATCATTCAACTTGAAAGTGTCTCAAAATAAAATTTATGTCTTTCTAATAATAGAAAACTAAGTAACACTTGTTTTATATTAAAACTAAGTAACTCTTGTTTTATATTAAAACTAAGTAACACTTGCTTTATATTAAAACTAAGTAATACTTGTATAGTAAAGTAGTTATTTATGTTTTTAAGTGGTCATCTATTAAGTATTTTAAAAAAGGACCAACGACTTGAAAACTTACGTGAAACTTACGAAAAATGGAAGGAGCCAGAAATGTACGTTTTTGCTCTCTGCTTAAGAAACTAGAACCATTCTCACCAATTTTCGAAATTAATTATAAAGTACGCCAATAAACGGAACTGCTACCTAAGAAATATTATAAAAACAATATTTTCAAAATAGCCATTATTTGCAGCAATAGCATGTTTCAGTCTGAGAACAAAATAAAAACATGTCTATGCAAAAATTTCATTTGGAATAGTCTGACAGGCAGCAAAGAATAATGTTCTCCAGTCAGTAGAGCCATCTGTTGACAGCATTTTAAAACTACTTCGGCAAATAACTGGTTTTGTAAGCATTACATAACTGGTTTTGTTAGCAAACGATACGTCTCCATCTTTTCAATTTTTTTCAAAAATGATCTTTTAAACTCGTCAGTCGTTTTTTGTACACCCTGTACTTTTTCTGATCCAACAGAAAGATTACCTTCTTTTATTAGCTTCACTTTTAATATTTAGTAAAATTGTTTATCCGAAAAATGTCTAATTCTTTTGAAGTATCTGCCAAAGGCTACTCGTCCACATTCTCTAATTCTATATCTTTTCTTTTATTCTATAAACAAGTTTTAAATGGATTTAAACAATAGAGATATTATTGAAAAAGAAATACGAGTTTTATCTATTTCAAGTTGAAGCCAGTTGGCTAATGTATGATTCTTAATTACATACAATTCCTTAATTATGACTCGTTATAAAAAATTTACTATTCAAACAAATTTTAGCAAGACTAAAGAATGAATTAAAAAAATGTTTAATATCTTCTTATTTAGATATGATGCATTTCAGAATTATTAAATTTTTCCTAAAGAGAGACAATTTAATTCTAGAATTTTGCTTCCTCTTTAACTCTAACCAAAAGTAATTTTTAACCCATTAGATATTTGCAAAACGCAGAATCTTTTATAGATATCTCTAATAATTACAACTCTTTCAAATTATACATTTGAAAAATATTCTTTTTCTCTAAAGCATCGTTAAATTCTGACTTGCGGCACCAATTCTTAATGTCACCAGGTAAATAAATGCATTTGCGCGATGTTAATTGCGGAGTTGCAAGTTTTAGGATATTATTTTGAATTTAAAATTAATTATTCACTTACATCTCCGGATCAATGGAGATTTAAAAAAAAAATTAAATATACTAAAGTTGAATAAATGAATAAAGTTTTATGAAACTTCCGAAATTTGTTAAGATATGTGTACGTTATTGAAAATTAAATAACGATGCACCGGTAAAAATATTCTCCGAAATTATTAATTCTCATTGCTCTGGATGGCAGAAAGTAATTTTTATCCGTCATAATTTTGGATATACTTTTTCCCATGAAACAAGTGTTAAGTAAATTTTATCAGCTCGATATTTTCAACATTTTGAAATGTTGAAAAAACTTATTATTTTATATACACCGAAGAGCCCTTACATTATGACCACCCTCCATCTATAACAATGGGCTCGCCCAGGTTTTCATGGCGAACATTAGGACCCATAATCCTCACAGAACAAACCCCGACGTCTGTAAGCTACTTGAACATTGTTGCAGACCAGGTTCACCCATTCATGGCAACAGTTTTTCCTGCGGGGGATGGTGTTTACCAACAGGATAATGCACCATGTCATAAGGGTCGAATCGTCATGGATTTGTTCGTGGAACATTCCAGTGACTTTCAAGTCATGTCTTGTCCCCCAAATTCTCCTGACCTTAATCCACTAGAGCATTTGTGGTTCTACTTGGAAAACCCAATTCGTGCTGCCACGCTACCCCCTTTGCAATGTGAGGAAATCGCAGGACCAGTTGGTGAGCGATTGGTACCAGATACCTCAGATTACCTATCAGTACCTTGTCGATTCAATGCCACGGCGGACAGCATGTACAGTGCACAAAATAAAAAGCAGACACACCTTAATAACCTTCGCTCTATAGATCAGTTTTTCACATATTAATTACTAAGATGCATTCTCAGCAGTTCCATTGTCCAACCGATATACTCATATTTCTATTATCTGTAAATATATCTTACATATTGGAGCAGCAAAATGTTTCACATCTGATTACCGAAAACTTCCGAATGTTTAACGACTACTAACAGATAACACACATATGTCTTCATCTGAATCTAGAATCTGGAGCTATTCTTACGTTTTGACGAACTTGACTTCGTGGCTCCTAGCGATAAATATCTAAAAACGCTCTCTGACCAGGCACTTATAAACTTAATAAGACAGCAAGGGATTAATCTAGTATTAGCAAGTTAGTTAATTATAAAAAAAAGTAAGCTTCCGTTATGTGAAAAAACTTTCTTTAAATTATTTTTTTGAGCTTTTAAAAATTTTATCTAGTAAATACATTCACTTACTTTAATATACAATATAAATTTCAATAATGTTTTTTCAAATATTGTTTTCTCAAATATTTTGTTTGGACGATTGTTGGATAGCTTAACCCTTAAGCCACCACAGATCAAACGCAATTCAGTGGAGGATTAATTGCTTTAAGATTAAAAATCTCGAAAATAAAAGACAGCAAAAGAATGAAAAAAAAAATGGTATGAATGTTTAGAAAATTTTACAAATTTTACATATAAATTTTGGAATTTATTTACAAAAGCTGCTAGTAGATGCTTCTGTACAACATTGATAACCAGAGCGATCAGCGTTGAAACGTGGAAGTAAATGGTTGTAAAGTATTAGAAGATTTAAAACATGTAATCATCAAAACAAAGTGTGTTTCTGGTACTGGAATATTACAGGTTAGGTTGAAGTCGGGTATTAGTATTCTCTTCAAGACCTCTGTAAAGCGTATTGAGCTATCTGTAAGCAACCTTTATTACTAAACTAGCCGCCTAAGGCGGACAGCTGACCGCCACGCTAAAGGTTTTCACAAATAAGGGTTTTTAAAACATAGCAGGAAATATAAAGATTAGTGGACAATTAAAGTGTTCCTGTCCTGCAATTTTGTCTTAAATTCCTATTTTATCTAATATATATAATTCTCTTACGTGGCTCTCAAATTTTGGCTGTATTTCTTTTCCGCCGGTGGCAACGTTTGCTTTGTTTTGTTTACGTTTTGAAAACACCAAAGCATTCTGCCTTTTAATGATGTGTTTCTGATCTAATATATATAATTCTCTTACGTGGCTCCCAAATTTTGG